GAGGAGTTTGTGCCACCATAACCTTCCTGACCCCCCCCCCCCCCCGACTCTCACCTTGAGCAGTATGAAGAGGGAGTCGGTGTCGCCGTACACCACCCTGGCCCTCACCTTGAGCAGTATGAAGAGGGGTCGGTGTCGCCGTACACCACCCTGGCCCTCACCTTGAGCAGCATGAAGAGGGAGTCGGTGTCGCCGCACACCACCCTGGCCCTCACCTTGAGCAGTATGAAGAGGGAGTCGTGTCGCCGTACACCACCCTGGCGGCCCACTCTGGCCGGGACTCGATGGTGCGGATGGCTCGCTCCAGCGTCTCGCGGCCCTTGCTGACCACGCTGTCCCCCACCTGGTGGCAGCCGACACAATCATCGGCCCACTGTCGGGGACGGCACCGGCCCTCGCAGGACACTGTCAGCGCGGGCGATGTGTGTGTCACATCACACACACACGTACATGCACATGCACTCACGCACGCGCACACATACATACACACACAAACAGCCAGCGAAGGAGATTGATTGCGTGCGTGCGTGCGCGTGCGTGCGTGCGTGCGGCGTGCGTGCGTTCCTGGCCACGGGGGGGGGGGGACAACGGACTGCGGAAACAAGGGGAGCGACAGGAACAAGATCGCCGCGAGAGAACAACAGACGCTATCTGAGCGTTGGACAGCAGGCGACATCACAAACACTGGGCACGACAGAGCACAGCAAGACAAAACTGAGATGCGGCACGAAACGCGGCACAGCGCCATACACTGCAACAAGGACAAAAACCGGGCTTCAAACGTACGCATACGGCTAGGGACGAGGTGGGCAGATTCGGACAGCCGCCCTCTCAGGCATGAACATTGCTGTGGGCCTGAGAAGACAGCCCAACAGCAAGTCGGAGTGGTACAAGACTGACCTCGATACAAGGCATGCGGCCGCTGAAGTTGGCCGAGGTGTAGCCGTACGTTACGTTGGCGATCAGCTTCAGACCCAGCTGCTTGAAGTCGAGCAGGCGCCTCACCGACGGATTGTCCTTGTTGGCCTTCATGGCCTTCTTCACCTGCAGTCGCACGTCTACGTCAGTACCCGTCACCTCCACTCATCGAGTAACGCTCCCGCAGCGCCCGAGCACCTGGCGACGAGCGTGAGGACTCTGCACAGCCACAAGCTTTATGTCAGAGCACAGCCGGATGGGCCAGCGCTGACGGCGTCAGTCAGACGTCTGTCACCCGTCTGTCGGACGACCGAGGCTTCCGATCAGAGCCAACCGGAGGCCACCCGGCACCGGCTGACGGCGCCGTCGTCGGTGCCGACGCGGCGCGCCTCACCATGATGCGCGTGCCGAGGATCTCAGCCAGCATGTCGGGCAGCACGCCGCGGCGCACGTCAGCCGTGACGAAGGCGACGCCGCTCGGCGACACGTGCAGCTGGTCCCGGGCCAGCAGGCGCGCCAGCAGCGGCGGCGGCACTTGCAGGGCTGTACAGCCCAGCGGGAACGCGCCCCGCCTGCGCGCAGCGTCGGCAGGTGAGCGCCCGGCGCCGCACGCGCGCCCGAACCAGATGCGCGCCACAACAGCAGGCCCCCTCCCCCCACACACGTAAGCGGGGCAGAAGGACGGGGCGTTGAGGGGAACATTATTCGGTGGAGGTCGTGCATGTGGTTCCCGTACTGTCCCGTAGTTTGCTACCGTAAGTCACAAATAAAGGGGAGAAACACAGAACGTAACCTTCACTTAACAAGCCGCTTCTTAGTCCCCGACCAGACTCACTGTCCGAGGTGCTCCACGCGTCCCAGACAGGTCGAGAAGCAGTAGTTGTAGGCGATGATCATGGACGGGTAGAGGCTCTGGAAGTCCAGTACCACCACGGGATCCACGTACATCCTGCAGCCAGCCACAGTGACCAGGTGTTTGTACGCAGCTGCACCACCGACAGCCCCACGACCGCGCACACAACCGGTGTCGGAAACGGCACGCGTATGTAACTCGACAACGCCTATCAAAGCGCTGAGGCCCAAAGTCAGGACACGACAATCACAAACATGTGGACAAAGGTAATGTAACACATTCAGCTACTGGTTGGCAGTCTCCTTTGCTCCTGTCGTCCACAAATCCACGCCATTTGCTTGCTTTTCTTTCCTGCAGTACGAATGACGAGATATTTATGGGACGTTTACATCCAACCACTGATGCTTCGGGCGTTACCCATTTCGCTGACATGCAACTTCATGCTTCGCAACGGCACCGACCGCTCATTTGGGAGATGCAAAGATCGCTTTGCCGCTCAGAGGCGACGCCTGAATACAACTCCGACACTGGCATTCCTCGGCGATGCCCTTCGTCCACCCACGGCCTCAGGAGCAGTTTCACCAGCTCATGAAATGCGCTCTACGCTCTGTGCGCTCTCACTTGGACTCGGGCTCCAGAATGAGCTGCACACACTCGGGCGCCCGAGCCGCCGCTCGCTGCTGCACAGACGGCGAGACGGGCACGAAGTTGCGCGGCTTGGCCAGCCGCAGCATCATCGACTCGACGCGGAACTGCAACCGGCGCCAGGTCTCATGTGGCCGCGCTGAGGCCGAGGCGCGCTGGCACGCCAGTGAATGGGGTCACAAGGCTCATTAGGGCCTCATCAGCAGCTAAGGCGGAGGGTGATTAAAAATGAGGGCAGATTGAGCGCCATTCATCTGTACGACACAAAAACAACCCGAGCTTTTTTTAATGAAGTTTGGCTGATTTCACACGACAGTAGTTCATTTGTCAATACTTATGTCCATTTGTTTTTGGTCCAGGACGACTGCCGTGAGGACAACTACTGAGCCAGGCTGGGCGCCCTGACCTGCCCGAGAGCTGGCGTCATCGCACGGGCCCGTTCGCCGCGGCAGGCGACGTCACCCGACCGACCTGCGAGCCGCGGGAGATGACGTCGAAGAACTGGATGCCGAACACCCTGGCCAGCTCGGCCGTGCGGCCGATGATGTCGAGCCGCCCCAGGATCTGCAGCGTGCCCCGGCTGCGGAGGCCGTAGTACTCGACCACCCGCCACCTGATCACGAACACGCAACGGCCAGTCACGCCCGGTCCGCAGCGGGGGCGTATCTGTGCGCTGGACACCGCGGCAACTCGAGGAGCGACCGTCCGGACGCGGGACGGAGGTCCCGTGCCCACGAGGGCCTGCGGAATCGATCCAAGTCTAGGGAATCCAAGGAGTCAGCACCGCCAGCCTGAACGCTGAGGATCCCCTGGCTTTCCCTGCCAGGAGTAGATCTAGCCCCGATATCTAGGCATCCTGGACGATGGCACACAGGCAAGGAATGATAACCTCGTTGGCTCACTTGTTGACGGCGGACGGGTGCTGCCACCACTCGGTCAGCTGCCGGAAGCTAAACTCGGGCAGCCGCTGGTGCAGCACCTGGTAAGCGATGTTCTCAAACGTGTAGCTGTACAGCGCCACCTGCAACACGCACAGCGGCCAATAATAGAAGAACGTAATGCAACGAGCGTCTTTAGTGGCGTCCGCAACAATTATGCTAAGACACGTACCGATTGTGTACACATGGGAACCGGAAGATGGTCTTCCAATTCGACCTCCGCTCCAGGCATTAAACATGACGCTAGCCTAGCAGAAATAGGAAAACGCAACGAGCGCTCACAGCTGGCGCAGTTTGGCGGAGGCGCCACCGACGAACCTCATGCCGCAGCAGACGCCACACGTTCAGCACCACCCGGCCGGCCAGGTGGATCTCGGAGGTGTGCTCCGAGCCGTACGGGTCCGAGTCGGCAGCGGCGCGCGAGGCGCGCTGGCACTCGGGCAGCCGCGACAGGGACGTCACCAGCGGCCGGCCCAGACACTCGGCGCGCTCCAGCAGGTAGCCCCAGGACAGCTGCTGCACCTGCCACACATCGACACGGGCTGCGGCGACTGACAGAGCGGCGACAGTCGCAACACCCGGCTTCGCCCACAGGTTGGTACCATGTTAGGATCGGGCGCAGCCGTTGTGCCTGTCGCAAACAGAATGACTGAGCTGGTTTAGTTGCTTGATTCGTTTATCGCTCATCATGACCATCACATGCGGCTGATAATGAAGACTGCTTACATGAATGATGTCAGCAAATACTCCGACCGCAGCGGCAGATCACACCTGGACGGCCGCTGGACCATCTGGGCCACGCTGGTTTCCCAACCCAACAGTCGCGCCCGGTGAACCATCCTTCGCTCGCGTCAGCAAATACTCCGACCGGCAGTATTAGGCATAGGCGGCAGATCACACCTGGACGGCCGCTGGATCATCTGGGCCACTCTGGTTTCCCAACCCAACAGTGCGTCCGGTGAACCATCCTTCGCTCGCAAAAGCCGTCCAGATTCCCGGTTAAATGGCATTGCCATCTTACCGCACGACTATCAATACATTTTTCAGGTATTTGTCGTCTCGAACAAAACAAGTGAAATATTGTGATGCTTTGTTTGACAAAGGCGTGTTCCCGGCGTCCCAGAACGTCCCCGTCGGCCGCACTCCCATAACAAAGAGTGAACACATCACGGCTGGATGACATGTGCATGTATCGCGACCTCGCCGCTTTGTACATACGCAACGATGTGCCGGCTTGGCTCATTCTCAACGAAGTACACAAATGTACCCCTGGAGACTATTCTCGTAAGAAACCCCGACTGCGACCGGGCTCGCACTTTCTTCCGAAGCGCGGGCCTCAGGTGAGGGCCTCGGGTGAGGGCCTCGGGTGAGGGCCTCGGGTGGTCTCGGGCGGGAGCCTCAGGTGGGGACCTCGAGTGAGGGCCTAGGGTGAGGACCTCAAGTGAGGGCCTCGGGCGAGACCCTCGGGTGACACTAACCTCCCAGCCCAGCAGGATATCCGGATCGGTGCCGCTGACCAGATCGATCAGCGCCTGCAGCAGGGCCGGCTCGTCGGCGACGTACCGCACGGCGAGGTCGGGCAGGCCGGCCGCCTGCAGCAGGTGGCGCCGCCTACCGGTCGATTCAGACACTACGGACGGCGCGTCGACCACGATACAGCCTGCCGGCGGACAGGTAACATGAAGCGTCAGCAGGTGATGTGACATGTGAAGCCTCAGCAGGCGATGTGGCATGTAAAGCCTCAGCAGGTGATGTGACATGTGAAGCCTCAACAGGTGATGTGGCATGTGAAGCCTCAGCAGGTGATGTGATATGTGACGCCTCTGTAGGTGGTGTGACATGCGACGCCTCAGTAGGTGACGTGACATGCGACGCCTCAGCAGGTGATGTGATACGTGACGCCTCAGCAGGTGATGACATGTGACGCCTCAGCAGGTGATGTGGCATGTGACGCCTCAGCAGGTGATGTGACATGTGACGTCTTAGCAGGCGATGTGATATGTGACGTCTCAGTAGGTGATGTGACATGTGACGCCTCAGTAGGTGATGTGATATTTGACGCCCCAATAGGTGATGTGACATGTGACGCCTCAGCAATGCTGCCGCGCGCACAAAAACGGGCAAAGACAGCAGGGCACGGCACAGACAAGCACGCGAAGGAAGGACGGGCGGCTGCGTAAAGGGCTCCGAGAGCACAATCATTTGCTGAGAATACGAGACAACCGTGGGTGTGAAGGAGGTATCAGCAGAGCAGAAAACGTGACCGGATGAACGTTTCTGCACACAAACTACAACAGAAGTATACTAGGGAAAACCCGATTCCAAGGTGCGCGCGGCAGAGCTGAGGTCCACACCTCTAAACATTGAACACCCCTCGCCTGACCAACCGAGAGGGGCCACAGGGTCCTCCAGGCCAGAAGGCGTCCTGGAGCCCTGCTGCAACGGACCCAGCTCGGGCCCGGCCCTTCGACCCGAGATTCGAGACCATCTCTCCGCGCTGTCGGGCGCACGCCCGGCCAGCGGCCGCACCGGAGGTCTGACGGGGTCGTCGCCAGTTCTCCGGCACATCGTCCGTCAGGTGGTAGAACACGGCGGCCACCGGATCGTGCTCCGGGTCAGGGAGCAGGTCACCGCGGGTCACGGCGTGCACCTCCAGGCTCAGGCAGGTCAGGTATTGATACTGAAAACACGGACGGGCCTGTCACGTCTGCTGCCATCACACGGCTGGCCGGCCAGCGGCGGGACGAGCTTCAGAACTGATCCATCAAAAACAGAACCTATACGCACAGGGCAAACCCATTAGTCCACAACCAACACGAGTCAACAGCGCTCGTATGTTCATGACATGAAACGCAGTGGAAAGGAACCAACGTAAAGGTTGGTTAGGAAAGCATCAATCGTCAAATGAGGATACGACCCGTGCGTGAAGTTAAGTTGTCATAAATCGCCAAAATGGTTTATTCACGCAGTAGACATGGCTTTAAAATTGCGTAAGTTGTTCAGTGCATTAGCGAGGAACATTAGTCACATAGATAAGACAGTAGTATTAGCCTTATTCCCCGGAAAAACCAGGAGAATGGAGATATATTTGGGTTGATATTTCGGCAACATTCCTTTCTCGAAACAAAAGCAGAAGTGAGTTCAAAAGTACCTGCCGATGAACCCCACGGAACAATGTTCCATAGGGCTCTAAAGAACTCATCACGTAGTGAAAAAGAAAGAAAGAGCATAAACAAAGTATGGGCTTTGCTGTTGGGCAAGGGATATTCTCCGCAGCTTTTAGGTAGAATGTTAAAAGTAAAAAAGTCCAGAGCGCGGGGGGGATGGGTGATAGGAGGCGCGAACACGTCCTATCGGGAGATGGATTCTTAAGGCTACCTTACATAGATGAACATTTGCTTTGGAAAACCGAACACATTGTTAAAAAATCAAAACTGCACATACGCAGAGCTTGGAAAAACGACAAAAACCTTAGAAATTATCTGGTGAAATCTTCCATCTCGAAGGCTCAGTGCCCGGGTGGCAACAGATCTCACTTATGCAATTCTGGGTTTCGAGGGGTTTGCACGCAAAAAACGTAGTTTACGAAATTAAGTGCAAACTATGTGAAAAACATGGGAGGGATATAGTCTATGTCGGGGAGCCCATGCGCGCTATTCGTTTGAGATATAATGAATACCTGCGAGACGCTAAAAACAAAACAGGGAATACCCCTTCTGGTGACCATTTCTTGGCAAAACACGCTCAGGCTGAAATCGAGGAAAGTATGGATCCCATGCCCCTTTTAGAGCTCAAAGTCATCTACAGAGCACAGGACCACCCAGACAGGAAACTATTCTTATAAAAAGTCGGCGACCAAATCTTAACATACAGGGATCATCATGGCCAATTACGCGAACGTGATATGTGCCTCTATGCGTGATGTGCGCTAGCTTAGTCGTTCATATGTGTAAGTGATGCCCGACGCGTGATGTGCGCCGCCTGTTAAATTGAAATTATTTGCATACTTGGTGCGCGATTTGTGATGCCTGTTTAGTTTAGCTCGCTTGCATATTCGAATGAAGCGTGCTGCGAGATGCCTATTTGCTTGAATTCGTTTGCATGTAGACGTATGTCCGGGTATTCCAATCCTTAGATAGGCACTGTATCTTGGCAATGGCTGGCAATTGCTCTTTGTTTTATCCCCTGCGTAATAGTGTTCTGTAAAAACTGTGGCTCGCTGTTTAAAAAAACATGAAAAATCGAGCAGGATCATCGGCAGGCAATTTTGAATTTACTTCTGCTTTGTTTCGAGAAAGGCATGTTGCCCAAATATCAACCTAACTATATCTCATTTCTCTTGGTTTTTCCAAGGAATACGGCTAATGCTACCGTCTTATCTATGGGCATGGTTTTGATTGGATTAGCTCGCAACGGCGAGGACAAGCCCTGCATAACTGAAACCCAAGTGGTCGACCACAGCCCAACTAAACATCATTACGGCCACCTTAAATCACCCGCCTCACCTCATGCGAACACTGGGCGTCCTGCAGGTTATCCCAGTCCAGCTTGAACCCGTACGTGTTGTCGGCGCTGTTGGCCCGTTGGAGGCCGTACGACGGACTGACGAGCAGGGACGGCTCCAGCGGCGAGGCGCCGGCCGGGTCCCGCGGCGCCGGCGCCGGACTGACCAAGGTGGTGCGGTCCCGTGCCAGCACCGCTGCCACGTCATCCGACTGCGGCTCCTCAGAGCTGGCCGGCCGACTGTCCGGCGCCTTGCCGCCCGGCGCCGGCAACGGCGAACTGGCGCTACCCGGCGCCCCCTGGCCGACCCTAGAGGGTGCCTCCCCTGCCTCTGTCCGTTCTGGGATACGCTCCAGCCAGCGTCGCGGTCCACCGTCGGTCGTCCCGCCCGTAGGCGTCTCAGGCCGCGCGTCCGGCGACGGCTCGGCTCGGCCCACGCGCCGTCGCTTAGCCGGCCGCCGGCTGACGGGGGTGAGCAGGGACGTCACGCGACCGTACGACGCCGTCCGCCGCACGCCAGTCACGGGCGTGAGACCGAGCGAAGCCGGCAGCGACTCGGGCGCCACCGCCGTCAACGGGGTGCTGGCGCTGGTCGGACCGCCGGCCGGCGCCGCTGCGTGCCCCTGCTCTAGCTCCTCCTCGCTGGCGCTGCTGCCGCTGTCGCTGGACGAGTCGACGCGGTGCCGGGGGCGGCGGCGGCCGCTCAGCCAGGCGCGCACGCTGCGGCAGCTGGGCGGAGGCCGGGCCGGGGTCAGAGTGCAGCGGCCGCGGCCGGCGAGGCGCGCGCACGTGGCGCGCTCCTCCAGCGCGGCCACAAGCGCCGTCACGTCGGCGGGCTCGGCGGCGCCGGCCGCCGCCACCGTGCGCCAGTGGCGCAGCCCGCTGGCGGCGCACACACCCTCGAACGGCTCCAGCGGTGCGGCGCGGCCGGCGCCCAGCACCGCGCGGCTTGGCACCGTCGGCAGCGACGCCCGCACGGCGGCCGGGGACGGCGGCGCCGGCAGCAGCAGCCGGACGGGGCCGCGGCCGCCGTCCGCGCCGCCTGCCGACGGACCGCCGCCCCCGCGCCCGGGCTGGTCCGCCGATAGCGGACCAGCGGCCGGTCCCCCGGCGGCGGACCGGCCGCTCACTGGAGAAGACCTTGTCTGGTACCCGGACTCATCATTCGGTCTCGTTTGGTCTCCCGGGCCAGACGATTTGCCCTGACCTCCCGAGTCGGATGGCCTCGTCTGATAGCCCGACTCAATCGGCCTCACGCTCTCGTCTCGCTCCGACGCTCCTGTCCCATGACCGGCTTCCGCCGTGCCTGCAGCGTGACTCGGCTTGGACGAACAACCTAGCCGTCCTGGAAGCGCCTGGCTGACGCCACTTGACGCGTCCGGCAGTGCTTCGCTGGTGGGTTGGGGGACGTGTGAGGGATCCGGATGGAGGCGAAGCAAATACTCCAAACAGAAACGAAGCAGAACAACAGACATAAAAGCTCGTCCGATCTCTGCGTTCTCACCGTCCAGATCGTTACACTCGGCTGCCGCCTCCCCAGCCACGTGTGACGTCACAGCTACCTCCGCATTCGTCAGCTTTTCTCGAAAGGAGGGGCCTTCAAGCGACATCGGAAAATCCGGGTCGTTTAATCTCGCTCCACCTGACGGTCCACACGCGACCGAGCGTTCAGCTGTATCAGATGGAGCATTTCTGGGCGCATCTCCGGCTCCGCCCGAGGCCCCTTCTTCGCCTGATGGTTCAGCTCCGTCTGAGGGCAGGACTTCTGGTGGCACAGTTGCATCTGAGGGTCCAGTTCCTTCTGACGATCCAGGCCCGGCTGAATATCTTGCTTCACACGATCGCTCACCATTTGATCGTTCAGTTCCGTCTGAGGACCCAGCTCCATCTGACGATCCAGCTCCAACTAAGAGTGCAGGTCCGTCTGAGGGCTCAATTCCATCTGAGGGTACAGGTCCGTCTGAGGGCCCAGGTCCACCTGAGGATCCAGCTCCATCTGAGCATACAGGTCCGTCTGAGGGCCCAGTTCCAGCTGAGCGTACAGGTCCGTCTGAGGGCCAAGCTCCATCTGAGCGTACAGGACCGTCTGAGGGCCCAGGTCCATCTGGGGATTCAGCTCCACCTGAGCGTACAGGTCCGTCTGAGGGCCCCGGTCCATCTGAGGATCCAGCTCCGTCTGAAGGCCCAGCTCCGCCTGAGGGTCCAGCTCCGTCTGAGGGTCCAGCTCCGTCTGAGGGCCCAGCTCCGTCTGAGGGTCCAGCTCCGTCTGAGGGTCCCGCTCCGTCTGAGGGTCCCGCTCCGTCTGGAGGGCCACCTCCGTCTGAAGGGCCACCTTTGTCTGAGTGTTCCACTTCATCTGACGGCTCAGCATCATCCAGGGCCTCATCTTCCTCTGTCGGCTCAGTCTCCACTAAGCGTCTAGCGACAGACGAGGGCCCGGTCTCCGCCGCCATTACAAGCCCGTGACCCGGCAGCGGACCAGCCTGGTTCCTCGGGCTGCCGAACGTGCCTTGGTGTTCCGCATGCGGCACCCCCGCCGTGTGGGGGCTCACACCCAACGCGCCGTCCGGTCGACGCCCACCAGATGTTGGCTGGATTTGATCTCCAGGCCTCGGCACAGGACCTCCGTGCTCGCTATCTGCCGCTTGAAGGACCTCTTCGAAATCGTTCCAGAAAATGTCGCACGACTCGTCAGAGGTGTGATTCGGACTACCGACGGTCAACATCGTTGTCACCACTCCCACCTGACGGCCTTCGCGCGCGAGTGACGGTCCGGACGAGGCTGGCACGGCGCCGAACTCGTCTGCAGCTGCCGCCGTGTCCCAATGTGCGTCCCCTGTCGCCGTCAGAACCGCAGAGTCGCCTTCATGGATCATGTCCCCGGCAGGCGACCGCCGTCCGAACTGACCGGCGGAGCCGCTCGGGCTGCCCCGCGGTGTCCGCTCCAGCTCCGGCACCCCATGAGGCGATTGCTGAGACTCTGAGCCGCCCCGCTCGGGCCGACCCGACCGCGGTCGGCGCTGCGGAGACGGCGCCGACATCTGGGCCAACGCGGGCCGGCTGTGCGGCGATCGACCCGGTCCCGGCAGACTGTGCGAGGACTGGCCGCACTCGGGGCCCTCGTAAGCCACCTGCCCGGGCCCGAGTGGGGGGTACTCATCCTCGGCGGACTCCCACCGCTCCCCGAGACCGCCGGCTGACCCGAACGTGCTCGCGAGGGCTCCTCCGAGATCGTGACTGGTGCGCCGGGACTGCTCTGGGCGCCGCCTGTCTTTCGCGCCGTCCGCGCAGCTCTGTGGGCAGTGCAGCGGCGGCGCCGGCTCCGCCCTGCTGTGGCAGGGCCGCGGAGACTCAGGGTTGATGCTAGACGACTGCGGTGACTCGGGACTGCCGCGCAGCGACTGCGCCGACTCCGCCCTGCTGTTGCAGGACCGCGGAGGCTCAGGGGTGATGTTGGACGACTGCGGTGACTCGGGACTGCTGTGCAGCGACTGCACCGACTCCGCCCCGCTGTTGCAGGACCGCGGAGGCTCAGGGGTGATGTTGGACGACTGCGGCGACTCGGGACTGCTGTGCAGCGACTGCGCCGACCCGACTCTGTCTTGCGGAGATGGCGAAGAAAAAATGTGCGAACGGTGAACTGAAGCTGACTTATTGTCTGGAGAACGGCCTATCTCTAACTGTCTTTGAGAGGACGGTCCTGGCGTCGGCTGGCTGTGAGGGGACTGTCCTGCATCAGGCTGGGCACACCCAGCCTGGCCGGGGTCCACTCCGTTCCGCGGATACTGCACGGCTCCCGTCCCGAAAGGCAGGGACTGGCCTGCCTCTGCCTCACCCCACACAGACTGGATCGCCTCGCGAGCAGCGGTGGGGCTGCTGTCGCCACCGGCGAACAGAGCGTCCGCCGGCGACAGCGACTCGTCGTACAGACAGCTCTCGCGGAGCGGCAGCCAGGCCGACTTATCGGCGCTGCCCGAGCCTGGCGCCTCCTCCAGCGTCAGGCGGTCCGGACTGCAGCGCGCCACTTCTCCCGGCGCACGGTCCACGCCGGAGCTCTCCCCGGCCTCCTGCGGCTGTTGACCGGGCTCGAAGCTCTCTGTGGCCTCCCCCGCCCGACGGTCCGCGCCGGAGCTCTCCCCGGCCTCCTGCGGCTGTTGACCGGGCTCGAAGCTCTTTGTGGCCTCCTCCGCCCGACGGTTCACACCGGGGCTCTCCCCGGCCTCCTGCGGCTGTTGGCCGGGCTCGAAGCTCTTTGTGGCCTCCTCCGCCCGATGGTCCACACCGGGCCTCGCCCCAGCCTCCTGCGGCCGGCTCGCCGTACCGAAGCTCCCCGCGACATCCCCTGACTGTTGCTCCGGTCTGCAGCACTCTGAGAACTCCTGCGGCGGCAAGGCAGCTGCACGGACCGGCCCAGAGCCGGCCGTGCTGTCTGGCGCCTCTGCAGACAAACGGCAGCTCAGCCCACTGTGGCCGGAGACCTCGTCCGACCTCCGCTGGCCTGAGGTCGCACTGCTAACGAAGAGAGAGCTGTCCGCGACCCGACAATCATGAGCCAACTCCGGGCTGTCGACGCCTCGGTCCTCTCCACAGACCGGCTCAGGGCTGCCGACATTTTGACCGTCCCCAGAGACCGGTTCAGCAGTATTTTGGCCGTCCCCAGAGACTGGTTCAGCGGTATTTTGGCCGTCCCCAGAGACTGGTTCAGCAGTATTTTGGCCGTCCCCAGAGACCGGTTCAGCAGTATTTTGGCCGTCCCCAGAGACTGGTTTAGCGGTACCTACACCTTGGCCGTCAGCACAGGCCGGCTCCGGGCTACCGACATCGACAATGTCATCACAGCTCAGTTCGGGGCTGTCGGCGTCTGCGATATCCACAAAGACGGGTTCAGGGCTGCGAACGACCTGATCGTCCTTGGGGTCCAACTCCTGACTGACGTCTGGATCGCCCTCACAGCCTGGTGTACGACCGCCCACTTCTGCGTCATCTTCACAGTCCTGCTCGGGACTGCCGCCTGGATCATCACCGCCGGGTTCAGGGCTGACATCCGGATCATCCTCTGTACCCGCTTCAGAATTGTCCTCACCTGGGCCCTCCCCTGAGCCCAGTCCGGGGCTGCCGACAAACGGCACTCGCTCCGTATTCCCGGCGCCCTCCTCCTCGTCGTCGGAGTCCTGCAGGTCCACCACCTCCACGCCTGGGCGCTGCGAGTTATCGAACAGCAGGATCAGGTCGTCGTCGTCCTCCTTCTCCTCCGGCGGCGCCGCCAGAGACGTGATCTGGCTGATCGTCGGGAGGAACGGTACGGGGGACGGCTGAGGCTGAGAGGCCCGGCCTCTACCGCGTCCTCGGCTGGTCGTCGCGGCCGAACTTCCGATGACCAGCCATCCGCCGGATCTGGCACGGTCCGAACTCCTCCCTCTCTCTGCGGTAGGGCCTCCACCCCTTCCAGTGGCGGCGGTCCCTCTACCTCTGCCGGCGCCGGTGGGTGTCTTGCCTGCCCCACGGCCCGGCGCTGCCCGGCCCCGAACACCGGTGGCGGCGGACCCTCTACCTCTGCCGGCGTCGGTAGTCGCCATGCTCCCGCCACGGCCCGGCGCTGCCCGACCTCGGCCCACACAGGATCTCCTACCTCTGTTGGCGGGTGTCACTTGTTGCCGGCCGCCGTCACTGCCCTCCTGACTGAACCGCCAGGGCTGCGCGAGCCCGGACAGCCGCGGCGAGAGTGGCGCACGCACGCGCAGCGCGGCCGCATTCGGCGCGGGCACGCCGTTCGTGCCGGGCGGTGGCGAGAGCACCTGCACCTCCTCCTCGTCCTCCTCCGGCGGGGAAGGCGGCTCGAAGAGCTCGGGCGACTGCAGCGGCCTTTGTCCGCACGGCGGGCTGGCAGTGTCACCGTGGCTGCTGTCGTCGTCGACCTCACCTGCGGCAGACAACGGTGCCGACGATCCGCAGACGTAACTGCGGCCCTCGAGCGCCAGTCTCGGTAACAGACGAATCTCCCCGGACATGGGTAGCGCCTGGGGTAAAATAATCGCCGCGGATCATGTGAAATGAATAGCATTCGTTCCAAGCACATAAAAGAGCAATGACTATGACTGGCGAGGAAACACTTCGTCCACGAGAGCCAGCTCGCTCAACAGTACAGCGCCAGCCGCTGCGGCACGCCGGCGGCAGTTCGTCGCCGCAGCTCGCCAGCTCACCTGTCGCCGCGCCCGGCTGAGAGGGCGAGGCCGGCCGCGGCGGCGAACGTTCGTCCGCCTCGCCGCTGCTGCAGGAGAGGTAGGAGAGCCGCGCCATGCTGTCCTCGGGCGGCCGGCGCAGCGGCAGCAGCAGCTGGCTTAGCCCGGCCGAAGGCGGCGCCGGCCGCCGCCGCCGCGGCAGTGGCGGCGGCGGGCCCAGCCCCAGCGAGGCCGGTTCCTCGTCCGACTCGGCGCCGGACGAGCGGCCGGCGGACCGCTGCGCCGGCGGCGGCGCGCTGTCGCGACTGGCGCCGGCCGGCTCTCGGCGTGGCGCCGGCTCGGCGTCGCTCCTGCGCGGCTCTGGCGCCTGCTCGCCCGGCGGCACCCAGCAGCGGCGCCAGGTCCCGCGGCCCGCCCGCCCGCGCGCCACCTTGGCGCCGCGCACCGACCGCAGCCCTACCGCCGACGAGCGTGCCTCACCCGCCCGGCAGACGTAGTCGGCCGACTCGTCGTTGTCGCGCTCCGGCGAGGGCGTGAGCCCGGGCCCGGGCTCGGGCCCGGGCGAAGGCGAAAGCGAGCGTTGGACGCGTCGCGCGCGCCGCCGCTGCCGCGAGCCCACCGCCGGGCTCGTGCTGTCCGCCGCCATGTACGCCACCGGGCTGGACGGGCGTGGCGGGTCGGTTCGCCGCTGTCCGTACGTCCGCACCTGGCCGAAAGTCGCCGCCGACGGCTGCGGCCTGGTCCCGAGCGCAACGTGCGGCGCCGATGGCGGGCCGGACGGCTGCGGCCCACCGCCGCTGCTGGGCTGACTCCACAAAAAGCCTCTCACACCTCCCACGTCCGCCGGCGGGGGCGCGAAGCGGAGCCCTTGGCCCCAGTCTGGCGCGTCCCAGCGCGGCGGCAGCGGCGGCCCATAGGCGGCCGGTGCCGGTACCAGCCTGACCTGACCCGTGTGACCGGGCCTGCTCAGGTACCCTTGCAACGCGCCCCGCACAGCTCTGAGCTCCTCTGTCGTTAGTGCGATGGTACGCGCTCCCAGCCGGCGCACAGACGCCATGGGCCTCGGGCCCAGTCGGACCATCACTTCCAGGTCCCGCACCTGAAAGGTGGCGGAGACCGGCGGGAGGGGCGGCTGATCACCGGCCAGCGCCGGCTGTGGGGCGACGACGCGCGGCGCTCCCCCGCCCGACGGCAGGACGGGGCGGTAGGCTGGAGGCGATGAGAAGTCGGGGTTCGGCAGCGGCGGGCCGCGGCCAAGAGGGCCAGGCGGCGGCACTAGGCCATACAACATACGCGGCGGACCCTTGGCTGGGGGGCACGGCGGCCACGGCGGCGCCCGGCCTGCGGCGGACGGGACGCCGATGACCGGTGGCTGAGGACCGCAGGCAGCCGGCGCGCCAGACGAGCGCGGCGGCGACTCAGCCGACGGCCCAGAGGTGGACGACGACGCACCGGGCGCGCCTGTCGCCGCGCTGCCGGCCGAACCGCCGGACAACTCAGCTTCGAACAGGTGCGGCACTAGGCCGGCCGCAGGTGCATCGGAGGCGGCCGTGGCCGGTTCCGGTCCGGCCTTACGCGGCGAGGACAGCACTGTCAGCTCCACCTGCAGAGGCATCGCGTCTGGGGCGTCCGGCGACCGAGCGATGATCGGTTTCACGTCCGACAGCAGGTCGGCAGGGGAAGGCGAGGTCGGCGGCGGCGGTGGCGAAGGCGGGCGACCAACCTCCTTGCCCATCCACCCGATCAAGGGGCGCTCCATTGCGAAGGGTTCCAGCGCCGGCTCCAGCGCCAGATCCAGCGCCGGATCCAGCGCCAGCTCCATCGTCGGATCCAGTGCCAGCTCCATCACCGGCTCCAGCACCGGATCCAGCACAGGATCCAGCGCCGAATCCAGCGCCAGATCCAGCGCCAGATTCAGGGCCGGATCCTGCGCATGATCAGGCGTCGCCGGCTTCGGCAGAAACTCGTCCAGAGCACTGAAAGGGAAGAGCGCCGCATGACGTTCAGCCGTGCTGTCACGGCCAGATGTTCTCTTCGCACGTACAGTTCTCTTCCTTGCTGCTTTTCTTGGAGAACACCCTGTTCTGCCTTTTCGCCCCTTAGTCCGTCTACCTCCTGTCACATTCACTTCAGGTGACCCCAATCCCGACCGTTGGGTCGGCCCAGCCGAAGGTGACTGGGCCGGCGAGGGCGCCGCGTCGGCGGCCCCCTCCCCCGCGGTCGAGACCGAAGACGAACCTTCAGCGCCGCCTCCCGCCACCGCCGCAGCCCTCTCGCCGGGCGGCAGCACAAAGTTGTGGCCGTCCCAGACCAACTTGGTCTTGGGCCGGCGCAGCACGATGTCCGGTTCATGCCTGCCGGCGACGCGCGGGACCCGCCGCCCACCGGCACACCGCTCGGCGCTCCTTCGTCTCTCACCGCTCCAGTGCGGCGAGCTCTGCCTGGGGGGTGCGCGGCGGGGCGTCACCCTGACCCGAGCCCTCTTGCGTGGCCACGGCTCGTCGCTGGCCAGCGCCCTGGCGGCGGGACGCTTCTGCGGCGACAGGTGGATCATCAGCGGCACCTTGCGGGTTTTCGAGGGGCTGCCGCCCGCCGCCCGCCGACGCGTCAGGCTTAGCTTGTTCCATCGGCTTCGGATCCGGAGCCTCACGCGGGTCGGGACTGCGGGAGCCAGGGGCGTCACCGGCTCGGCACTGGGAGCTTCTTCTTCGTCGTTCGTGCCCGCTGTCTTCGGGAGGACCGGCAGGGCGTTCACGTTGAGTCTTTTTAACACAACGACGGGGTTTAAATCCGCGCGTGAGACGTCGTTTTGAGTGTGAAACACTCGCTGCGTAGACTTTGTGCTTCCCTGAAGTTCTGAGGCGCAGGCCACCTCTGGAGTTACGTCGCAGTCATATACATTCGGACGTTTTGAGCCCAATGCCGCACGAGAAGTCCCGTGCAATCCTTCCGGTCTCTTCTGGTCTCTATCACCGCGCGAGATATTGATAACTGCATTTGAAGTTTCTTCGGAGTCGCCTGCACTTTCCCGAGATTTCCGTGTCAAACCACCATCGAAAATTGCCTTCGCGTCGCGAGAATTCTTCCAATCCAGACAATCAACGAGGGGAGCACCTTCAGCACAGGGCCGTCGCTCGCCCGTGGCCTGCGCCGGGTCGCCAGAGGGGCTGGCGAGCTGCGGCGTCCGTCGGAGCCGGTCGGCCGCCGCCCGGTCGGCCGGGGTCAGCAACACCCTGGCTCCGACCGCCCGCCACACGTCAGCCTCGCACATGCCGCCGGTCAGCGCCAGCCACGCCACGCCCAGGTCCACCACCTCGACGGTGGCGGTTTCGCTCGCGGCGTCTGACGCACGGCTCAGAGATGTTCCGCGCTTGCGCCTCCTCGTCGACAGAAGAAAGCGGCGTCTCTTCTTCGGAGGTCGGCCGGAACGGGCGGGCGCAGTGTGGTTTGAGGGTGTCTCGTCTACGGCCGGGAGGTTGGCATGCAGATCCGCCAGAGCGGGCGGCCCCACCTCCGACACAGATGAGGAGCGACTGCCACGGGGACGTCGACCTGCGCCACCCCCACTGTCAGGCCTACACAGCACGCCATCAAACTCCCACTCCAAATCAGCAGCGCCAGCGGACTGCCGGCACTGGGCGTTCGACCCGCACCGCCGAGGATCCTCACCCTCGCGAGGCGCACAGAGCGACACGCCCGCGGCAGCCGCGTCGGAGCGCAGCTCCCCAGCTTGATTTAGGCCCTGAAGAACAGCCTGAGAAGCGTCTCGGCCACCAGTCGTCCTCTCGTGACGCGGCTCCTCGGACGCTGCTAGACGGCGGCCAAGCCGCAGTTGCTCCCCCCGGCACTTTTCCTCAATCAGCTTATTGTCGACAGCGGGCAAGCATCCGCCCGATATGGTAGAGCCCGCAAGTACTGACGGAGAGTCTTTGCCCAGTGCATTACGATCAGGAGACGACGGTGAGGAGCCTTCACTTTGCACACCCGTGTCCGAACGCGGCCGGGACGGACCCTCGCCCCGCTCACTCGCGACGGCCGCCGACGGCAGCCGACCGCCGCCCCCACCACCAAACACGCCCGAGCGTGCCGGAGCCGGGCCACCACTCCGCGCGCCCGCGCCCACCGCGCCCTCCGCGAACGGCCCCGCTCGATCACCACCTCCGACGGTGGCGGCGGCGGCGCCAGCCAGCTGCTCGCCGCAGAGGGTCCGCTCGGCGCCCGGCACCGGCAGCTGTCTTCTCAGCGGGTTCGGCGCCGGTACCCCGTGCTCTCCACGGCCGTCACCGCACGCTCCCCGCGCGGCGGCCGACGCCCCCTCCGCCAGCGGCAGCTTCAGGGCGGCGGCGGCGGCGTCGCTCACAGCCACGCGACGCCCGGTCGTGCCCAGTCGGCGGTACCGCCTGATGCGGGGCCGCGGCTCGTCGTCACCGACGCCGTCCACCTGGGTACACGGGGCATCACGTGAGCTGGGTCACCTCACCCAGCTGGGTCACCGGCATATCTTCGTAGACAGATCTGATGAAGCCGCTGAGTCTGGACCGCGTTAGACTGTGCTTGTCAGAGGCACTCACGCACGCACGCACGCACGCACGCACGCACGCACGCACGCACACACACACAGTGTGACTCGGAGTTCAAACACTGATTACATTGTAGCACCAGCCATGATCAGCTCCCGGCCATTCGGATATCATAGATGCACAACATATCAACGTGGCAATCACTGGTGAGCAGCGCAGCACCGCACGCGCTGTTCACCTGAGGAACCGTCAGGCCGGAGCTTTGACCGACAGATGAGCTGTTCCCCGGATCAGCCGCGGAAGACTGTGGGCTGAACTCTGTGTCTTCGGCCTCCGGCTCACGACCGTCACCGCCTGGCTCTGGGTTGGCTCTGTCGCCGCCTGGCTCTGGGCTGCCCCTGTCGCCGCCTGGCTCTGGGCTGGTCCTGTCGCCGCCTGGCTCTGGGTTGGCCCTGTCGCCGCCTGGCTCTGGGCTGGCCCTGTCGCCGCCTGGCTCTGGGCTGGCCCTGTCGCCGCCTGGCTCTGGGCTGGCCCTGTCGCCGCCTGGCTCTGGACTGTCCGCTCCCGACCTGCACAAATGATGACATGGGTTTTAGTGTGCGCCGACCACTGAGGCCATTTTGGACCCATGCACAAGCGACGTGCTCAGTGGACCAACGAAGTACTAGAATATGTCAGCCAGTCGCCGTACGAAGAGAAACGGCACAATGAAAACTGAGAGCTGGCAGTAAACTTATCTCCAGCATTACGACCATATCATTAGCTCCTGGGTTTTAGCGGCGCATCAACTGCACTGGTTTGTCGCGTGTGACGGTCTGATTACGAGTGCGCCATTTCACCAGAGCCAGCTGTCGTCGAGCCGTGTAGCAAGGCCTTCGGGCAGCCCCAAGCAGGGACGGAGCGGCCCGTGAGCTCACCAGGGCCGCTGGGGGTCGCTGTGCTGTGACCAGACCACCTGTGACATCTCCAGCTCGTCGGCGGCGTCTTGCGCCTCCCGGTCGGCCGCCTCCTCGGCCGGCGGACGCTCCTCGCCCGGCGACATCAGGCAGAGCAGCGCCGCCGCCAGCGCGTCGTCCTGCGAGTCCACTGCAACAGGGCACCGCGCCCGCTCACGCGCCACACCGGGTCACGAGACCGCGCCACGGCGCGTCACGAGACCGTGACACGCCACGTCACGAGACCATGACACGCCACGTCACGAGACAGCGCCACACTCCGTCACGAGACTGCACCACACCGGGTCACGAGACCGTGCCACACCATGTCACGAGACCGCGCCTCACGGCGTCACGAGGCCGCGCCACATCGCGTCACGAGACTGCACCACACCGGGTCACGAGACCGTGCCACACCATGTCACGAGACCGCGCCACGCTGCGTCACGAGGCCACGCCACACCACGTCACGAGGCCGCGCCACACCGCGTCACGAGGCCGCGCCACATCGCGTCACGAGGCCGCGCCACATCGCGTCACGAGATCGTGCTACGCCGCGCTGCTGAACCGCGCCGCACCACCGTAACGCAACAGGCTGCGAGTCTAGCGCCGAGGCGACACTGCCAACGCGCTGCAGCGCACCGCACTACGTGGCAACGGACTTCGCCGCAAACTAGAGCTATGTCGACACGCCGTTCACGCTACACTGCATGCCACGGTGTCACGCTGCCTTACCACCCTGCACTCCGCGAGATACCACACCCGACAGGGGTACGTCCCAGAGAACACCACCGGAGAACAACCACAATGCACGATATGAACAATAGCACGCTACATTCGTCCCTATACTGACCTCAAGCCAAGCCAGCAGCACACGTTGTACCGCAGGCCACGCAGCCGCCGGCGGTACTCACGCGGCAGGGACGAGTCGGCGCGCTGCGAGAGCTCCAGGACCAGTCGCTCATCCACGTTGGCGTCGTCGAGCGGCGGCGGCGACGGCGGCGGTAAGGTGTGTGGGGATCGGGCCGGCGCCGGCGTGAGCGGCGGCAGGTCGAGCGAGCTGGCCGGCTGGCAAGCCGACTCGTCGGCGCACTCGGCCGCCAGCGACGCGTCCAGCTGCGAGCCAGCGCCGGCCGAGCTCGACTCCACCTGGCGGCCGGCGGTGCAACTGAGGCGGGCGGCACGACAGACCCGCGGTCGCTGCGCGGGGCACGGCAGACGGAGGAAACGGAGTCAGGCGGCATAAGGGCGAGGAGAAGGAAACGCGTGAGAGCAGTGGTACGTACGCTATTTCGAGCTCATCACTTCCGGCGTCCTCGTGAGTCGCCACCTGTTGTCGCCACCGTGAGTCGCGTGAATAGTTCAAAGACACCGACCCCACCACGGCTGTGATGACGAAAACATAACGAAAAGTGTGTGGAGAAGCTCGCTACGAGACGATCTTGCCCTGATAGCTGAGAGCGGAACCCAGATTACTCGGGATTGGCGATGGAGGTAACCTCACCGTTGCCTGCGGCCCAAGCGACCATGGCGGTCCGACAGCTGACCGAACAACAATCTGAGTCCGGGCCAGCCCACCTCCGCCTGGTCCGTGAGTCTCAGCCAGCTCACCTCCGCCTGGTCCGTGAGTCCGGGCCAGCTCACCTCCGCCTGGTCCGTGAGTCCGGGCCAGCCCACCTCCGCCTGGTCCGTGAGTCTGAGCCAGCCCACCTCCGCCTGGTCCGTGAGTCCGGACCAGCCCACCTCCGCCTGGTCCGTGAGTCTGAGCCAGCTCATCTCCGCCTGGTCCGTGAGTCCGGGTCAGCTCACGTCCGCCTGGTCCGTGAGTCCGGGCCAGCCCACCTCCGCCTGCTCCGTGAGTCCGGGCCAGCCCACCTCCGCCTGGTCCGTGAGTCTGAGCCAGCCCACCTCCGCCTGGTCCGTGAGTCTCAGCCAGCTCACCTCCGCCTGGTCCGTGAGTTCGGACCAGCTCACCTCCGCCTGGTCCGTGAGTCTGAGCCAGCTCACCTCCGCCTGGTCCGTGAGTCCGGGCCAGCTCACCTCCGTCTGGTCCGTGAGTCTCAGCCAGCTCACCTCCGCCTGGTCCGTGAGTCCGAGCTAGCTCACCTGGGACTGGTCGGCGAGCCGCGCCGCTATCGCGGCCAGGGCGGCAACCTCGCCGGGCTGCCGGCGGGCGGTGCGGCCGTCCGGCGGCTCGGGCGTCGGCTGCGAGTCGCGGCCGTCCCCCGCCTGCCGCCGCCGCGCCCTCTCCTCCCGCCAGATGGCCGCCAGGCCCGGGTTGCCGGCGCCCAGCCCCGGCTCTGCCGCGCCACGGGACGCAGGGTGACGTCGGCGGCCAGCGCCCATCGCCGGGCGCCAACACGGGTTCAACAGAGCTGCAGTGCGCCCATCGGCCGAGCCAGCCGCTTTCGTCCACATAAGGTAACGCAACGATGCACCTCCAAAGAGAAACACTACATCGCCAAATGGAAACTATGGCTGCGATGTAGGCGCCCTTTGTGCCCTGGTATTTCATCGCGTGACCCACACTTCAGCCCGCAGCGTGGCCATGCCGTGCCGCCTGATCACCGGCTGCCGGCTGCAATGGCCGGCACCCCCTGGACCGGACGTCACCCAAGCCAGACGGCCGGCAGCTGACAGCTCACCCGTCGCCAGCTGGGTTCGGTTCAGGATGTGGGAGGCGTGCACGTCCACTTCCAGCTGGCAGCTGCTAACGGCGGCCAGTCCCGACCCTCCGGAGGCCTCCGTCCCTGCGGACGAGCGCGCGCTCAGAGCAGGCCGGGGAGGCACAGCGCGGCGGGCCCGGCACACGGTCAGAGGCGGCGGCTGGGACAGGCCGGTGGAGCTGGGCGGCGCCGCACACTCACCCGCCTCGGTGCGAGCCCTGTGAGAGGACACGTGCAGCAGGTTCATCCCCTGCAGGTTGAAGTCGATGAGGAACTGCAGCAGGTACGGGATGTGCACCTCGTGCGGCTGGAACGACCGGTGCATAACGGCACCGCTCTGTGAACACGATAAACACACGTCAATCGGTTCCCTGCCCGCTAGTGATGGCGTACGGCCGGTGGAGATAGAAAACAACAGTCATTGTGCAGATCCACATGACCACACGCGTACAAAAGAAAACCGTATAAGAGTACCACCGCAGCGTCATGGTTGATCACGGGAAATGCGTTTGCAGACGACGCGCATACCTGAGAACAGTCAACCACACGACGTTCCATAAAAAGTTTAATTCTATGGTGTGGAAAATCTCACATCTCTATATACCTGAAGAAGTTCCGCAGCTTTTGAAACCATCCTTGGGTTGTAAAGGAAAACTTTGAAGAACAAATGACTTTTCTTGTGATATCCATAGTATGGTCTGAGAGAAAACAACACATATCAGCATATATGTCCCACAACGGCCAACAGAACACATGAGCAGTTGGACCACCACCACACTTTAACTCAGCTTGAAACTGGGAAATTGAACATCTGTTCAAGACATTGCAAAGTAATCTTAAAAGGTAACAGGCACAACCTGCCATCACTCAGACCAATTCAAGAAAATGAGAAAAGCCGTAGTCGTCGTCATTGGACTTCATGATGCACTCGGCTGTTGAGGCTATTTGGCGTCGCCTGCCCCAACCCCTCTTCTCCAGCAGGAAGAGCGGACAAATGACAAAAGTTGAGTTTATAGGTCTGAGTTGGAACCATTTTCCTGGAAATCCCACAAAGCACAGCGTAGGGGTGAAACGAGAGTACGAAGAGGAGGAAAGGGGGACGGAGAATAGAGTAGAGGACATGAGTAGAGGCCAATGGAAAATGAAAATGTCAGAATGGAAGACGCGAGACGAGCAGGGAAGACAGAAGAAAAAAATAAATGAGGAAACTCGGAGAGCAGAGCAAAGTGTCACACGGACTCGAGGAAACGAAAGGACAAACGAGGCGAAGACAGCAACATAACCGGAAGAAAGCGATAAGGCGCGGCCGACCGGCGCCTGTCCGAGCTTACTTACATGCCAGCCACCAGCGCCACCTTGTGGACGTGTAGTGGCGCCGTCTGGCGGCCGCCGGCGGCCAGCGCCAGCGCCCGGTCCAGGCCGGCCGCCAGCTGGTGCGCCGCGCTCGCCGCCGCGCTGGCGCCGTCGAACGGCACGTAGAAGTACGGCAGCACGCCGTGCACATGCATGCACGCCTTGGTGCCGTCCGGCGTGGCGCCGAACACGCGGATGACGGGCACGGCGGTGACGCGGCGGCCGCGGAACTCGGAGTAGGTGGCGTCCCAGCCGTGCGCCGGCTCGGCCATCGCGTGGTCGGCGGTCACGAGCCGGACGGACAGCATGATCGGGCTGCGGCGTCCACCGGCGTCAAATAGAGATGCCCTGTTGGTGGGAAGCACCGCTCACTCCCATGCTATGATGCTTTCGGTTTGCAGACTATGCTGCGCCAATCTGCATTGGAATGTCATATTGTCATGGAGATGTCAAAGCATGAAGTCGCAAGCTTTCCAAACCTCATGCAGGGGCTAAAGAGCAAAGATGAATGCGACCGATATTTCACAAATGTCCAAGACAATACTGATCTATAGCACTGTGCAATGGAATTGGCATGGTTGACTATGAATGCCCGAAATCAGGCGTTTGTGAAAATCTACGCATCCTGAGAAGACCAGTACACACGAAATAGGACGTTCATGGAGCATTCAGGGGTGATAAACAGCTAAAGGGGTACTCCCCTGTTGTTTGGGCACCAAAGGAATATGGGGATAGTGCTGCTGCAATGGAGACTGGAACAGGGTGTACACGTCGTTTTCAGTCACAAGCATATAGTCATGCTACTCCAAAACTTAGGAAGGAATGATGTTTACGCGTCAACGATGTGCCGAAGTGTTTTTCATGGGCTGGCCTACCGCACATCGGTGGTCCCGCGCTCCTGCAGTATAAGGCATATGATCAAAAATAATGTTTGCAAGAGTCTGAGTCTGAGTCTGGGGCACCTTCCTGGTGGATGTAATGAGCCAAGAGTAGTATCCAACTTTCCTCAGCCAGGAGCTTGATGCTACTGCCTTCTCCACCCACATATTTTCAAGAAGAATGCTACCAAGCTGTGATGAACCTACCACCCATGGCAGGAGGGAGATACAGAATGGGATGGATGGATCACCTGGGCCTGAAAGCATACAAAAGGCAGCAGCTATGGAAACAGCTGGAAACAGCGAAAGCCAACAGGCACTGTGCAGCAGCATGAGGGCACACCTCACCAGGGGCGGATCTAAGGGGGGGGGGGGCACGGAACCATGATCCTCCCTCGGGCCCCGAAGGGGCCCACCGTTTTTTTAACACATAACGCAACAAAACTGGGTACCTCTGTAGTTTCAGGCGACCAGGAACAGTTATAAGCGAAAGTGAGGGGCCTATGATAAGTCAAAAAAACATTCACTGATTGACAATCAGTCCGATCAGTGATTGGAATAGCTGTGACCTGGAAATTTTAAGTCTCACTGCGCTGTCTCTGGGCCCCATCTCCTTTTCGGGGGACCTGTATGCCTACTTACAAGATCATTTCAATCGTTAAGGGGCATTCCACGTTGCCCTTCATTCCTTTGCATTTGCTCGGAGGACCCTGCGCTGTTGTTGGGGCCCTTCCTGTAACCATGTCGGGGCACTCTTGTCAATCACGGGCCCTTCCACGGATTCTTTCCATTCGCCAGAAAGGCTTTGTGAGCTATAGCCAGGGCCCCATATCTTAACCTGCCGAGGTATTCTCGGTTGTTCAGGGGCCCTCTACGTGTGTCCCGGTTAACCTACCGACGTATTTGCGGTGTGCTCATGGGCCCTCCACATTGGTCTAGGGCGTTTCTAATACTCTGTCACTTCCCTAGGCCTTACGCTCCTGTCGGAGGCCCATCTGATGCCTGCTTGGGCACGCCCAATCGTTCGGTGACCCTCCACACTGGGTCGCGGGTACTTCTTTTCTAACCTGCTGTTAACCTGCTCGGGCACACTCCATCATTTGGGGCCCTCTACATTGGGTCTTGGATACTTTCTATTTGAATGGAAGGCCTCATGCTCTTGACGGGGGCCTCATATGTTAACCTGCTTGGGCGCACTCGATCGTTTAGAGCCCTACACATTGCGTTGAGTATTTCCTATTTGAATGGATGGCCTTATGTTCTTGGCGAGCCCCATCTATTCAGCTGCTCGGGCCGGCGGCGGATGCAGAGGGTGGGGAGGCACAGGACTTCCCCTCCCCCCCCCCCCCGCTGGACCATGCCATGGGTACCTAAAAGCTTCAAACCGTCCCATAACCGGTCGGACGGACGCATATTTCTTATCACAGACAACGAACTTAGACGATTCTGAGCCAACAGACAACCAAGAACCATTGCTAGCAAAAGTAAAGAGTTCACAAATAAATTAAGTTAATTCCTCGTTGATTGAAAAAATGTTGCTTGGGAACATTTTGGGGCTCATTACGCTGTTGGGTGCGTGGCCCTATATGTCCACTTGCCGGGCCAATCTGATCTCCAAAGAGCTTTCCACGTTGTCCTTGATCTCTTTCCATTTTCTTGTAGGGCTCAATGTGCTGTTGGGATGCTACTTGCCTTCATACCTGAGCACTGTTCATTAATCAGGTTTTCCTCCACAAATTCTTCCCTTTTGTGGAGTTGAGTGTATAAGCCCTGAAAGGCTTATACACTTTTCTGGGGTCCCATATGCCAGGGTGTGCTCAGTTTCCCTTCATAGAAGTCTTGGGGTCTTTCCACTTACCTGGAGGGCCCTGTGCTGTTGCTAGGACTCTTTATAAGGTAAGGCACGGAAACACTGGGTGTTCAGGGGCCCTCCACTGTGATCGAAGGCTCTCCCCCCTTGGTCTCATCTGCAGAGGACTCTTAACTCCCATGGATGCTGGTGTTGCTAACCTGCCCCTGCACTCGTGATCGCGCAGGGGTATTAGTTCATGGTCTTCAATAATTCCCTTTTGCTCAGACGGTCCTGTGCTATGGCCAGAGCCTTATATGTCAGCATGCCACAGCACTACTGATCGTTTATGGGCCTGCCACATTGGTCTTGCATTCTTTTTGCTTGCCCTGAGGGCCCAGACTTGTTGATGAGAGCCACTTGTGTGTACTCAATGTGTATGCATCTGTAGCATGCCTCTGCTTTATAGGACTGTGCACAGTATGACAGGCTTCCATGTTTATTAAATAAATACATAGTAAATATACACATACATGAATATATATATATATATATATATATATATTACATACAACCTGTCTTACAATGTAATGACTGAAATGCAAATATATTTTTGGGGGAGGGGCCCCCAACTCCAGGGGGCCCCACAATGTCCTGTCCCCCCCCCCTCCCTTTGACAAAATCCTAGATCCACCCCTGCATCTCACACCAACAGACCAATGATACGGCCTGTCATCCAACTGCCTGGCCACTCTAACTGTGCATATGTACAATGAGTGTGTCACCAGTACAAGTGTCTGATCAGCAATAACATTGGGGACTTGCCTTCTCTTGCTTTCAAAATTCATGCATGCCCATGACAACACTCAAAGTAGCAGGACCAAAAGATACTGAGGACAATCCTGACCACCCCACCAGCTATGAGGCTGATGCTTATGACTGGAACATGGTGGCCATTTATCTCTCCAAAACCTGTGTAGCCCTTGCTACCAATGAAAAATGGTTATTGAGGTCTGTGTATAATGCTGGATGCATATGCATCATACACATCCAGATAAAATCCTCTCTTAATGGGGGCAGGTTGCACCATCCCAACTTTAACCAGCTGCTCTCAGCTGGGAAGCAACCCCCACCAAGATAGCCTGGTATCAGAGCCTGCTGCAGAAAGGCTTAAGTAAAAACAACTGCCACCACAAGTGACAATGGGCTGCTGATACCAAACAGCTGTTTGCACAAAATAAGGGACACAAACATGTTGTGCTTTCTCAAGATGGTGATGAGGAGTCTGGATATAATAAGCTATCCTGACTGCCTCAGCACTTGCATCCTTTAATGGGACATGAATTGCAACAATTGCAGTCAGAAGGTAGAATGGTAGTGTTTTGCTGTTGACATTTTCTGTCATGTCTTGAGTTAAGATGCTAGTCAGTCATCCTTGCTAGTGGGCAAGTCAGTCATCCTTACCAGCAGGTAACAATGGAGAGAGAGGGATAAATTACATTACCTTCAGATCTCCCTGCCTCTCACCCTATTGAAGTCTACGAGCATCAGGTAAACTGCTGTATGCCATTATGAACAAGTCCCAGTATTTTTAAGTGCAAGACACAAATTTAGTTGTGTGCATCGCACAGCAAGCACAGACAACTTCCCGCCAATGTCAAATGCTGCCCCGGCCCGCGGCCACGCGGAAGAACAACGTGCTTATTGCAGGGAACAACGCATTCATCGAGCGTTGCAGGGCGACCAGTCCTATTTGTTTTCTTGAACGGACCAAAGGACACCGGCTCGCGCGAACCACTTTCTTTAGTGGCTTCAACTTACGTTATTCGCTCAGAAAGGAAGGCGAGGCTCTCAACTCACCCCGCGCAAGACCGGACTTGTCCGGCAAGAGCCGGCTAAATAAGTCCGGCGGCCACTTTAGAGATGGGAGGCACGGGAAAACCACACATATGCAATTTTGCTTTGATAGGCTATGCAATACGGAAAATATGGTCAACAACGACCGTCATTTGAGATCACAATTTACTGCATACGTGGGGAAAAACCCGTGAGTAAAAGCTTGGCCACGTTGGGCACCCGGCCGTTGCCTTTTCCCGACGGGATTCGCACGTACCACGGGGCTAAGTGGAGAATCAGATCTTGCCAGACCTTCGTACCCAATGGCGATTTAATTACGAAGTCCAGGACAAGGTCGATTAAGGCAGGATCGTTGTTGCCTAGCAGCGTTTGGAGGGTGTGGGAGAGGCGATGTGCCAATAAGTAACTCATGACATAGCGACGTTCCCGAGTGACAGCAACGCATCCAACCTATGCGTGTCCCCCCGCGAGGCACCACCTTTCTGTTGTGGGGGGATTGTGTGCCCCAATGATCCTGCGGGCGGTTGGGGAGGTTTGTGAAGCGCCCCTTCCGGCCAAAGGGGAGGGGTCAGGGGAAACGCGCGCCCGCAAAGGCTCTGACTCGATCAGAGATGGGTCCCACAGGGACACCGGTTTCGTTCGGTGTAGGGGACTAGCGCCCCCTCGGGTCCCAGCTTCGGTAACAGGTGCGTAGTGTCTATGTATCGTTGAAATGAAAATCATTCACATTCCCCTGTATTACCATACCCTCCCTTACTACCATTTGAAGTGAATCCCTGTTTGACCTTGAATAAATAAACAGTTTCTCACCGACCGTTACCACGCGTTTTGTGGTTCGCACCGAACCAGACCGTACGCGAGCTGGTCAGCTCTATAAACACTACATGGTGGACAGCGCAAGCTGTTCCTCTCAGGGCGTAGCGACCCCGCCGGTACGCGAGCTCCTGCTCCTTCCCATTACCGTCCGCTCCCTTCCCATTACCCGCTTTCCCGCATCCAGCTCATTCAGCACTCGTGATTCTCGTTTTAATCGGGGTCGCCGTGCCCCCCTCGCCCGCGTTCCCGGGTTGACCGGATCCTGGTGGTTGAGGGGCGCCCAAACAACAAGCAAGCAAGCCTTCCCAACCGCCCGCAGGGTCATTGGGGCCACACAATCCCCTCACCACGGAAAGGTGGTGCCTCGCGGTGGGACACGTATAGGTTGGATGCGTTGCTCTTACTCGGGAACGTCGCTATCTCATGAGTTACTTATTGACATGGGTGTAGGAACAGGGGGGGGGGGGGGGCAGGTGGCCCATGCCCCCCCCCCACTTTTCAAGGTGGGGGGGCCGAGCAGTGTGAACTGCTCCCCCCCCCCCCACACACACACACTTTTGAGATTAATGTTGTTTTAGCTTACTTTTGCACCACATCTAAATATATACGCAGATTTAACTAGTTCACCAGCCATCCTCCTCAAGGTGCGTTATCTTTCTCGTTTGATTATTGGCCATCGTCTGGTGTCACAGCAACGCCACGCGGCCCATGGAGACTGCAACGCCTAGCGTTCAGGCTGTTGTTGCCATGACTTACGAACGCGTATGTTCAAAACCATATTACATAGTCTTTTTATCAGTAATCAATTCTGACTGAATCTTGAACATTTTAAGACGAACAAGGATTAGTTAATGTTAATACAAGCTTGAGGCCCATTTCACCTACAATCTATGTTCAGGGATTCCTCAATATCTCTGAAAAAACAGAAAAGCACGGAACTGAAGCCTGTCGGACAATCATTGGACCACCTTTGGTAATTTGGGATGTTATTGCGTCAATGAGGGTTCCTGTGCTGATCCGGGACCAACTGCACACGTCGGAAAGCCTCCCGTGTCTGGGAGGGGAACAATGTGATGTGATATATCTGTTCGGTATCGTTCGATCGTTCGTCAACACGCATCCGTCGGCTGATGCTATATTTTGAGGTTTGAATTTCGGGCCAGGAGGAGGACATACGCCTCCTCTCCTCGGCAACGCTCGCGAGACAACTACCCCGTTACCGGGCGGCGCGGCCCCGCGCAGGACACGACACATGCGGCACAGTTTCCGGGCTGGCCGTAGGACCGGGGTCGCAGGGACAGTGAACTAAACGAAACATAAATCTAAAGGGAAACTCGACAGGGGACCGAGAAATGGAGAAAAACAGAAGCTCAGAGACAGGACAGCAAAGCCGACATTTCACAAAAAAGGGAAACCGTATAAAAGCAGATTTGTACGGAACACAGCCGCACCATAATTCATCCACGGTTCTTGGATCAATTCTATGCTAACAACACAGACAGATCGGACAAATCATGCCGTAGCAACAAAGGCATCGCCGCTCATCCGACTTCGGCAGCACAATTCTCTCGATCGATCGTACCGAAAACGCGTCCAATGTACATTTTTCGGGTAAACGCACGCGCCCTTGGCGTATCGACCCTGGAAACCCGATAATACAACACAAAATCTACAAGGCGACACAGCACCCATCAACGTTAGTCAGCTGCATTAGCTTGCAACCGAAAACAGTGCAAACAAATTCGTAATTGATGCACAGCTTCCCACTGCATCTCGACAACACAAATACCACGTGATCACGACACTACCACAGCGGCACGTCTAAGCGCTTGCCTCCAGCAGAAAGAGGCGCGCCGCCGGCCCACGTACGTACCCCCGGCCGTTTTGATTTCGGCGGAGCGCACCCTACCATCGGAACCACAGAACGGCCTCACTACCCTGGCTAGCGGCCAGTGCCCACGCGGTTCGTTGTCATCGACTACCAGGACGAGGTCGCCAGTCTCCAGATTGCTCGTCTCCTGCAGCCACTTCCGCCGCACCGTCAGCTCTGGCAGATATTCTCGACGCCACCGCTTCCAGAAGTGATCGACGACGCGTTGAGCGTGCCGCCAGCGCCGTCTGCCACTCACGTCGGAGTCATCCAATATACCGGGCGGCAGATTTGGGCTGGCGCGACCAATCAGGAAGTGATTAGGGGTCAGCGCCTGCAGGCCGTTTGGGTCGGCGCTGACGTGAGTGAGAGGTCGACTGTTCAGCAGAACCTCGACTTCAGCCATGACGGTCAGCAGCATTTCGCCGGTGACCGTGTTGTGACCGATGATTGCCATGAGTGCGCGCTTGGCAGAGCGTACCACCCGTTCCCAGACGCCACCGAAGTGTGGAGAGGCAGGCGGGTTGAATCGCCAATCGATATCCTCTTGTTTCATGTCGTCAGCGATTCGGTTTTGATTGAGTTCTGGCAAGCATTTGCGGAGCTCACGCTCTCCCGCCTTCAGGTTGGTGCCGTTGTCGCTGAATATCTGCTGAGGACGGCCCCGTCTGGCGATCATGCGCCTGAGCGCCATGATGGAGCTGTCAGTGTCGAGTGAGTGTGCGACTTCGATGTGTACCGAACGCGTCACCATGCAGGTTAATATGCAGCCGTATCTCTTATCGGTCTTCCTCATCTTCCTCACCACGATCGGGCCGAGGAATTCAAGGCCAACTGCAGAGAACGGCGGCCCGCGTGGGTCTACTCTACTTGCTGGCAGGTCAGCCATCACTGGCGGGTTCGGCGTCGCCCGTCCTTTCCTGCAGAGCCAGCAAGGGGCTGTCCACTTTTTTACGGCCGCTCTACCGCGCAGGATCCAGAATCGCTCACGAAGGGAACACAGAACGTGATCTGGTCCGCTGTGCGCCAGGCGCTGGTGCCTGTCCGTGATGACCAGGCGAGTGACGTCATGGCTTGGAGGCAGCAACGCCTGATGGCGATTTTCGTACGTGATCTTGGCGTGTCGCAGCCGTCCTCCAACTCTGATGAGTCCATCCGTGTCCAGGTACGGACAGAGCGGCAGCAGCCTGCTGCGACGTAACAGTGCAACCTTTTGCCTCAGGGCGTCCAGCTCAGCGGGAAATTCGTCTGCCTGGGCCCGTCGAAGGCAGACCGCCTCGGCACCGCGAAGCTCAGTCACCGACAACGGGCCGAAGCTTCTGTCGTCTTTTGCAACCTTGCAGTTCTTGCAGAACCGTCGAGCCCATGCCGTCACCCGGAGGAGCTTCAACCAGGACGAGAACTTGGCTGGTTGGATGACCGAGTCAGGCTGGGTCACCGCGGTCACTGTCGCGACCTTTTCTTCCGTGGAGTCCTCTTGTTGGATGTCGTTCGAAGGCTCAGCCGGCCATGCCTCTGGAGGCAGCGACAAGAAGCCGGGTCCTTGCAACCAGTCACATTCGCTTTCGCAGAGCTCTGACGTACTGCAGCCCCTGGACACGATGTCGGCGGGGTTCATCGACCCCGGCACGTGGCGCCAGTCGTTGACATTGGATGAGTCTTGCATCTCCGCCACACGATTCGCCACAAACGTGTGGTAGCACCTACTCTCGCTTCTGATCCAGCTCAGCACAGTGGACGAGTCTGACCAGTGGTGAGTCGGTTCGATGATGACATCGTGCTCTCTTCTGATGAGGCCTCCGAGGCGAACCGCCATGGCGGCGGACTGTAGCTCCAGGCGCGGGACCGTCAGCTGACGTACCGGCTGTAACTGATGAGCGGTTGTCTTGCTGCTGATACACCAGGCACACGAGCCGGAAATGATTCATCGTGAATTGGATGTCGCAACGATGACATAACGGAGGAGGAGTGCGCTGGAAAAGGTGGTAGTGGGTGATTTTGGTGCGACCGATACGAAGTCTGGCAAGTAGCACTTCCTTGTGGCGATTGTCTTGGTTAATTGCCGGCCAGTACTGAAGTATGGGTTTGATTGAATGAAGTTGGTAATGAGCGCGTTCATCTCAATCGGATTGGAAAAGCAAACGAAAATGTAAATTGATGACTCCAAGAATATCGGAAACGGGACAATGAAAGGAAGGAAGATGGAAGATGATTGCGTTTTGGTAACATCAGACTTAGTTTTGTTGTCTCGTCAGCGATGTTATTTCCATGAATATCTGAGTGTCCAGGTATCCAGAGAAATATTACGTCAGTTTGTTGAGGCAGAGAGCAGAGCGTTCGACGCATACCGTTTGTAATTGGATGGGATGTATTATGGAGTGTCATGAGGGCTTGTGGCGACGAATGGGAGTCTGCGCGTACGGCAGCCCTTTGTATGTTACTCTTCTTGATTTGCAGCAGGGCTGACAGGATTGCTGTTAGCTCAGCTGTATACACGGCGTTGTAATTTGACAAGCGGTTGTATTTATGATGATAATGATGAATGTACGCGGCCCCTGTGCGGCCTTCACGCCGGGAGTCATCAGTGTATATAAATGTGTATTGGTCGTGTTCCTCTTTGAACTTAGCGAAGAGTGCACGCGCTTTGGCTTCGGACATGCTTTTTTGTTTTTGTTTGCTTGAACAGAGATATCACGTTTAGTACAAGGTCGTCCCAAAAGGGTCGGGGACTGGGCATTGGCCTGCAGGGAATGCCCTGGAGATTAAGCGCACGTTGCGCTCGGATAATGCGGGTGCTGATGGTTGGGTACTGGGGCTCCACGTTGGTAACTGTGCGGTTGGGGCGGAGGTGTGCGAGGGTATTGAATGTGGGTTTGCCAACGTGCCCTGCGGCGCGTGCGTGAAATCTGAGAAGTTGCAATGTTTCCCGGTGTGATAGGGAGGGGATATTCGTGTCCGCGAGCAGATTTCGGACCGGGGAGGTCTGAAATGCACCTGTCAGTATGCGGAGACCAGTATTCTGGATGGTTCCTAGGATTTCTATTTTTCGGAAGAAATATAAAAAAGAAAGACTTTTAGTCCAAGGTCGGGCATATCATGGAGGTGTAGAGGCGGAGGAGAGTGCGTCTGTCGGCACCCCACTTCCATTCTGCAATGCATTTTGCTATGTTGAATCGCTTGGCACAACGTGGCTTGAGGTCGGCAAAGTGAGCATTGAACATAAGACGACGATCTAGCGCTACGTCCAAGTATTTAAAACTGTCGACAAGAGATTATTTCACCGCCAAAGTTTCGGGAGACTGCAGGCTGTACGTTATTTCGTCTAGAGAAGAGAATTGTTGCTGACTGCTGGGGAAATCTGTAGTCCCCACCGCGTGCACCGCGTGTGGATGTCCTCTGCAGCTAGTTGAATATAATGCGTTGCCTGATCGACATTAGCATGCGTGTACCACATCGCTAGATGATCCGCATATAGAGAGTAATGGAAGCGAAAAGAAATGTTATCAATGTTATTGAAAACACCACTTAGAATCACGAGAAAAAGGGTTTGAAATAAGACACTGCTCTGCGGAAGGCCGTGATTCTGCGCCGTTGGAGAAGAATAAGTATTTCCAAAATGCACAGGACGTGTCCTATCATTTACAAAGTGTCTAATGAAATCAGCGAGACGGCCGCGAACTCCGATGTCATGCAACTTAATGAAGAGAGCTTTTTTATTTACTCTATCGAAAGCGGCCTTTAAATCCACGAAGAGTGCTGCCGTACTACGTTTAGTCTGAAATCCGAGCTGAATTGAATCGATGATGTGAACTAGGCCATCCGCCGTGGAGCGGCCGGGACGGGAACCATTCTGAAAAGGTGAAAGCAGGTGACTCGACTTAGGTGTTAGTTCGTTGATGCATATGGGGTCGTGAGTGTCCATGAGTCTGTGCGAGGGTAGCTCTCTTACTTGTGTGGCGTTACAACCCCATGCGCGCTGTGTGTGTGGGGGGGGGGGGGCTTTCATGTCCCCGAGAAGCAGACACAGCGAGGGAATTTGCGTTGGCAGGGAGGAGAGATCAGCTGAAGAGACAGGATTAGTGGAGCTAAGGCACATAGAAGAAGAGTAAGATCCAACTGTACTAATTGTACCTTGATTGCACCTAAATTGAAGTGGTTATTCAAATGAACCTGACGATGCTACAGGTTATTGAAGACAAACAAAGCCAAGCGGCCTCGGTGCGGGGTTTCGTTTGCGGTATTTGCATAGAGGCAGTAACCGTTGATATTACGATTGCAATTAAAGGAATCCGAGTGGTTAAAAAGGCCAGTTGAACGGCGGCTATCAATCGTTTTTGTATCATATATTCTTTTAATTCTCCCCAATGGGATGCCAGAGACCTTGTATTCCATTGCAGCAAGAGTTCACCGAATTGGGGATTCATTTAGGAAGGGGAGGGAGACCATCCATCGGAGCGACGGTGGGAAAGATCGAGGGGAGAGACGGCAGGAGCGCGTAACGCGTCGGGCTAGATGATCGAGCGAGGGTCTGACCCGGGGGCCGGTGTCAACAGCCCGGCGGCCGAGGATCAGACGGGGCTCCCTGGGACGCCGGTACGGGTGGGGAGGGGGGGGGGGGGGCAACACTGACGCACTTGGTGTGAGAGAGGCTCTCTGGGTCGGGTGGGGCGGGCCCCTCCTCAGGGAGGCTCACAACCACCGGGTTAACCTCAACTGGATCGGTCGGCGCGGGCTCCCGCACCAGACGTGGTTGATTTGAGGAGGTGCGGCGCGCTGAAGGGAGCGCTGTGCCGTGGCGTGGTGCTCGCTCAGTATCTCAGGCTCCTCAAGAGGACGCGGAGGGGGGAGGGGGCGACGCTGTGGAGCTTGTGCCAGTGGGGAATGGCGAGGGCGAGGGTACGCCTCCTGTGGTGTGGGCCACTCCTGCGAGTGGACCTCTCGTTGAGCGGGTGCAAGGGCCGCTGCCGCCGCCTGCTGCTGGCGCTCCCTCAGCACTTCACGTTGCATGTCCCAGGTGGGACAGGCACGGCGGTCCCAAGCTGCGTGTGGGCCTTTGAATGAGGCGCATCGCAAGTTTCCGGTGCCACACTCCCGCGTCTAGTGGGAGTCCGCGCAGCGGCCGCAGGTTGGATGTGCAACCCGGCAGGTCCGGTCAGTGTGGCTGAACCGTTGACACGTGCGGCGTTGCTGGGGGGGGGGGGGGGACTTAGCCGGGACCACATGGTACCCGCAGCAGATGGCCCGCGGGAGCTTAAGCCCTTTGAACCGCAGTCGGACCAGTGGAGGGGGGCCCATGCCGGGACGGCGGGAGGGCAGGTGCACAACCTCACACACACCCTGCTCAGTCAGCTCCCCCAGCAGCTCTTCTTCTGACAGCTCGGTTAGTTTCGGGCTGTACACAACTGCCTGAATGGTATTTAGGCGGTCTGCGATAGTGACCGTTACATCCCGCTCCATGAACTTGTTTAATTTCAGCAGGGCCTTGGCCTGGTGTTCAGTAAACACCCTCACTAGGAGGGCTCCTGACTGGAGCGGTTTCGCATCTTCCATTTCGCCAGGGTGCAATTCTAGCTCACCGCGGATGGTGAAGGGATTCGCTGTTCGAAAACTTCCCCCATCCACGTTTCGAACCAACTCAAAGCTCGGCCCCACCGAGCGAGAGGTGGAGGGAGGCAAACAAGCCCCTCGCCGGAGGGAGAAGACATCCCTTAACGCTTGGCTTTCCGACCTCAACCTCAACCTTAAATTACTCGTACAAACTAGTTATTAGAATGGCTTAAAACTTAACAACACAGCACTAACACACTTGAAACTTCTGAGCAGAAACCCTGCTCAGTTCCCCGTCAGCCGTTTCTTACAGCAGTTGGCAGATGACAGCACTTCCTGGTGACCGGAAGATGCGGAGCCTTAGTCGTGGCGGGAGTACTCAACTCTGAGGGCGCTTACGCAAACCACTCTTTTGAAGCCAAAGCTACGACAAGAAGCAATGAAAGCTACCAGGGCAATGAGCGATGGAGTCCCAACAGTAAAACCACCATCACGCTGCCCCAAGCGACAGAAAGCTAACAAAGCACCAGAGCAAGGCTACGCGCGTCCACCGGCCATCACGCCGCAAACGGGAAGGTTGTGGAGAGACGGCAAATAACGCCTCAGGTCTCACTTACGTTATGAACGAGAGTATTTTTCTCGCGCCACACGACGTGCGCCCGGTGTTCCCCAGATTGATAACTCTCATTGCCATCGCGTTTTCAACACCGTTAAGCGATGAACATTGCGTTAACACCGCAGCGGACGAACAATCACTCCATACGAAGTTCCATTTGAAAAGAGCCAAGTCAGGTCACGGCAATTCATTTATTAGGATAGCGCCATAGGAAACAACTGACGTGTGCCCCAAAAGATAAAACCACCGACAGAAAATGTATGCACAGCTCGTCCTCCAAGCTGCACAATAAAACTATCCAACGAAGTCCAACACCGATCATTTAATATCACAAACTTTACCTGTACTTATAACAGAGACAATCCAGAGCTGCATCAAGGACCTGGGAGCAGCCCAGGGCAAAACAGAATACCCTCGGCTGCACCTCCCAACGCAGCAATCCATAATCTACCAACAACGGCAGTACAGCAAGGTGAAGTCTTTCTGGTTCATCACAATTCATCCAGCCAACCACCTCAATGCTTGCAAAATAGAAAATTTACGAACAGCAACGCCTCCTCAACAATATTTGATAATGCCTGGCCTGTGCATAACTACATACACGGGCGAAATGAGTTGTTTAGACAGAAACTCACCACAAATAATTGCCACACGCAATCTGGCTTAGATCAGCAGGGTCAGCCGCTCAGATCTGACGGAATGTGCATGTTGCCATCTGCCCGGTCGGCCTTGCACCGAGCATAGCTGCCTCACAGCCACTGCCACCAAAACATGCCGTAAACGCGAGTCTTCCGAGCACTAACACAAGTCCAGCAGTACCCAGTATGGGACCGACCTTGGCGAGCTAGATAGCACTCCGACAAGACTGGCCTGGTCCGCAGCCAGGCCGGGTAGGGGCGGACGGTGCAGGACTGTGGGAGGCGTGGCTCTGTGTCGACGGATGGTGTGGGCGGGGCGCGCTCCACCCACAGAGTGTTTGGATGCCACCCAGACGTCTGACTGGCAATGAAAGGCGATCGTTGGGAGGCGTTCGCACCAACAGTATAAAAATAGATGGAAACGGAGCACCAACCCACGCAAGCATAACACCTTTTATGGCATCTGGTCATCAGGTAAGACCACGCCCCACTCTGGTCGAGTCATTACCCTATTAAATACAACTGCTCCACACAAAAACAAACTCCTAACCGGCTGCGTTACGAAAACGGCCCGTAGGCGTTGGAATATTTGCGCTTGTACCGCCTCTTCATCCTAAACAGGAAGAAGGCAAGGACAAGTGTAAGGAAGCTGAAGGTCCAGAGCATGACACAGAGGTTGACGTCGCCGCTGGTGATCTGGCCGGGTGGCGCCGGCACGATGCGCAGGCCCGCCAGCCGACTCTGATGCACGCGGCGGGCCACCGCCTCCACTCGGTTCCGGCTCTTCTCCTCCACGACGGCGTCCGGCGGCTGGCGAACACACGGATGGCCAGCTCAGCACACACCCGCGCCTCACTCCGCCAGCACAAACACACACACGCAGCTGTACACGCAGTGCCCTGCCCCGCATGGCACTCCGCCAACGTACACGCACGGAGACTTCAACCGACCCCATCGGCACGGGCATGGTAATCGCGGTCAACGTTCGCGCCTGGCGATACCGGCATGCGCACACAGCAAACCCCCGTGTACCGCACAAAGCACACTTTGTGACCAGTGCACGGTTTGTGGTCTGAGCGCGGTTTGTAGTCGGTGTACGGGTTTCCGCCAGTGCGCGATTTGTGGCCACTGCGCGGTTTGTGGTCAGCATGCGGTGGGGCCAACATAAAGTGAGGAGTGGAGCCAGCACACCTAGTACATGCCTGGTATCGGCATGCACGCGTCGTAGAGGTGCCACGAGGATAGGATCGCAGTGCTCTTTGCGGGACGATTGACTGTGGCACTCCTGCAGCGCAGTGGACAGCTAAAAAAAAAAAATTAAACGCAATAGGAAAGTTTAGGCTACTGACTTGATCGAAATCATTTCTGAGACACACGATTGTTTCTTGTGCTTAATTTCCAGCTCGTCATTTATTTACCCTGACGATAAGTCATGATAGGATGGGACAGCGATTGTCTTGGTGGGGCATCCAAAGTGTTGTCGTTAAAGGGAGTGTTCCACATTTGTATGGGGTTTTCAACTGGAGTAGTCATCTTGAAGATCATTCAGTGCAGTTTATAGCCCTGCCCTTCTTATGGTCTAAACCTGTCTAGTTTCTGAGCCACATCCCTGCAAAGATGTGCACAATATTTCTTGCAGACAACTTCAAGGTCGCTCAGATACCCATGACGCCATAACGGCATTCAAATCCTGTCATTCCATTGGTCATGTGGCGATCAAAGCCAAGCAAAATATAATTGTCGGGTCGTTCACCTCTGGCGTTTGTGGGCAGAATTTCCAGATATAGCGGCTATAAATTAGCTCTCAATCAATGCTTTGCAAGGTACGCATCAAACAATGACATACGGAGGAGTACATTTACTAAGTAGCAAAATTATGTTGTCTACAACAGCCCATTCCACTTAGAAACACACCGTTAGTTATGTGAGCTTATTTCATCATATGCGATGCTTGCCTCCGTATCTCCACACGTGGAACATTCCCTTCGAGCTGGGCGTCTGAGAAACCAGAGGCAAGAGATTCAATTCCCACATTCCCCGGTTCGGTGCCCGTCCTTCCAGTCCGGGTGAGAGGCATGCAGTGTCACGCAGCCTCAGCACCTGAATGTGTCACAAAGCCCCAATGACATACACACAGCTCGCTCAGACGACAGCAGTGCGGTGCAGATCCAAACCAATCCCAACGGTCGGCAGCGCAGCGTCAGTCGAAGGGTGCGCTGGCCGCCAGCTGGCACCTTGGTAATCAGCAGAGGTTGCGTCAAAGCGGCGACGTCAGCTGGCAATGACGCCCGAATGATTCAACGAATACCGCATGGAGCATCAGAGAGCGCGCCTACTTCAGAAACAGACCGGTGTCCAAGGCGACAAAAACCCCTACCATCGTCCACGATGACAAGTGTCAGAGCATGTGTGGGGCTGCTGTCGTAATGCCCTCGCGCTCTGCAAACCGGACTGGCTCTATAAGCATCGGCGTTTGGCGGAATGTGCGCAGTGTTAAGTCCCCATCGGTTTGTACCGGGCCTCGCAAACAACATGAGCTTACTGGATACAATTTATTTCGCGCTTTCAACGGTTCAAATGCTGTACGTCAGATGTCAGAGTCCATGAAGGATGATCGGAGCGGGCCACAATGTCATCAGCGAGTAAATTTGGCCTTCAAACGTGATCTGCTGTAACCTGTTTTCCTGACAGTTCCACTGGCCGTCTGCCCCCACACGGCAGGTGCCGTGTCACAGTTTCATCTCCGTGACGTGGTGGTGCAGCAGATAGAGACCTGCCAGGCTGACGGGCGCCGCGCCCGCCGACTTATTTACCCGTGCTGCCGCGGCGTCCGCCGACGCCGACGCCGCCACCGGCGCGTTCGTCGACAGCCCGTCCAGCTGGATCACGTCCTGGCCGTAGAAGCTGCCGAGGAAGGAGAGCACGATGGCCGGATAGTACTCGTCGCCGCTGAAGCAGGCCTGGCACTGCTTCCTGGTCGGGAACTGCAACTTCGGGTGGCGAGGGTCTTCGGTGGCGTCGCCGGCCAGTCGCTTGTTGACCTTGTTGTGCGCCGTCCACAGCCAGACGGCCGCGCGGTCGGCGCGCGTCACATTAAACAGGCCGTCGTGCGCGGCCATCTCCTGGAAGTGCTGCAACGGCCGGGCGTCGGGGCTAACCACCGAACGGCGGGTGCACGGCGAGCGGGACACGGCACAGTCCGACTCGCTCGGCACATGTAACACGTCACAGACGACAACACTCCTGACCACGCTGGGAACTGCAGGCGCAGCCCAGTATTAATCAGTGCACAGTAAACAAATTCCGGTGTCCGTTTGGACTGGCCGATCTGTGAAATTTCGGGTAAAGCTATACCGTGCATGCAACCTCCTGGATGACTAAGCAATACACAGCCAGCCCCACTTAAATACGTGTGTTTCAAAAAGCACATTTTCAAAAGATGACTCGGGAGCACGACCACGCCACACCGTCGCGCCACTCAGGAGGAGCAGGGCGCCCCACTCACCTGCGAGCAGTGAGCGCAGCTGAAGAAGTGCTTGACGTAGCCGTGTATGGCGGGCAGTACGCTGGCGGCGGCCGGGTCCTGCTGGTGCGCATGCACCGTCAGCGTGTGGAACAGCGACCAGAGACCGCACGGGTAGCCGCGGAACTGGGGCTGCGAGCCGCGGCAGCCGCGCCACGGCCGGTGCGCCGGCAGCCGGTGCTCGGCCGCCGCCAAATGTTGCTGCAGGTCCTCGCCGCTGATCTGCTGGCGGCCCTTCAGCAGGGCGCTGACGCCCGTCAGAGCCTGCATCACCGACCGCCGGCCGGGCAGGTGCGTCACCAGCAGCTGCACGAACTCGCGTAACGCCGCCAACTGCTCGCCGGCGATCAGCTTGCGGCCCACAACCTCATGCTGCAGCGCGTAGCCGACGGTGTTCTCCAGGTCGACCATGAAGACGCCGTCGTCGGCGGCGAGCGGCGCCGGCCGACCCACCGGGTCGGCGGTGGACACGGTGCCGTTGGCCGGCACCTCCTCGGCGGCCAGGCCGAGCATGCGGCGCAGCGCGTCGCCGAACACGCGGCGCGGCGGCAGGCCGTCATGCGAGGCGAGCACTTCGCGCGCGCCTCGCCGGTAAGTCACCAGCAGAGGGCGCGCCGTCTCTTTCAGCGTCAAGCCAGCTGGCGGCTGAAGCACGCGCACCAGCTTTAGCCGCTGCTCCTGGCTGCTCAGGTCGAGGATCAGCTGGCGGCCGACGTGGCTCTCGGCGGATTTGTCCAGCACGATCGCGTGCACTGGCTGCGGCGAGCCGATGATGTCCGAGAGTGAGCCCCTGCCGAAGGAGGGGCGGTCAGCGCGCGCGCGACTGCGAAGTCGCCGGGCGACGAGCTGATCCCGAGTCGTCGGGACTCTCACGCGAGTCGAACACTGCGAGTCAGCGGAGGCACCAGAGCACAGCGGCACCACCGACTCGACTCAGCCGTCACGCTGTCAGCCGAGCTCGCGGTTACAGGAGCGGGTGCTCGTCCCAGCACCTGGTCTCACACGGGCCACTCCCAACATACACGTGGTGCGATGCTGCACCCGAGCGGTGCACCACAGCGCGGCCGGCAGCTGACTCAAGTCATCATCTAAAACGTCACGGAACACGCATTGCATTAGACGACGGATCCAGACTGTTACTTACTGGAAAGGCGCCAGGTTGGGCCAGAGCGGAGGATGACTAGCACTTTGCACTTCAGTCACATAGTCAACGATCACGTCCAGCATCTCCTCCAGGGGTTTGTGCTTCTTCATCTTGCCAATATCACCTTCCTTCGCTAGAGGCTTAAACATTTTGATCCAGGGGTAGCCTCCGATATCGAAGTTCCGACAGAGGGCCAGGTTCTCAGAACGCGCGCAGTTGATGGCTCCTACTTTCACCACGCGGTCCCATTCTATAAACAAGCAGACAAGCTAATGAGCACAGGTGGAAACCAAGGTTGCTTCTGAAAGAAAACACATGGTTGAAAAGAACAAGGCACCACCAAAAATACTAACGTTAATGGGCACCTGCCTGCACTACGAAAAACCACTTCACAATAAAGAAAACACTATTTGGACCATTCACTTTTCTCTCCATTAAAACCAATCAAAATGCAGCATTTTTGGATCGCATGACTCAAACATCATCCCTCCTAGAGACGTGGATAATGCACAAAACGACAGTGCAGACGACCTGATAAACAAAACACAACAAAAGCAATGCGTGTGAAAGCAGCATCCCCCAGACCTACACGGATGTAACAGTCCGACGACTACGGGAAGACCGCACGGCTCGACTCGGCAGCGTGCGATGCCGGCACCGGCCACGCCCATGGTCAAGCGCCAGACCGGTGAAGCCGCTGCGGAGGGGCCTGGTCGTCCAGCCGGGGGCCGGACCCGTTCCGCCGCCGCGGAGAGCGTGGCTGCCACTCACTGGCCGTCTGCTGGGCCACGCGGTGCCAGGTGGGCGCGTACAGCTGGCAGTGGCCGCACCAGCTGTTGTAGAACTCCACCACCCAGACGTGCTGCTTGCCGTACAGCAGGCTGTCGAAGTTGGTGTGGTCCATGTGCACGACGGCGTCGTCCTTTGCGTACAGGTCGACGATGTCATCCTCGTCGTCGTCGTCCGTGGCCGCCGTGGCGGAGAACAGGAGGATCACGATGGCGAGTAGGCGCATCGTTCCTGTGAAGTACGCGCAGCGAGTCAGCAAGACTCCTCTACCCGTCATACCGCTGGAACTGACGGCAGTCCCGGGAAACTGACAAAGGACGCCAAGAGATTAGCTGCCGATGACCATGACAACAAACAACACAGCGTGTATCACAAACAGCCTTAAGGAGGCCCATTACATCTACCCACAGCACATGAATAGACGACAGATGGGCAGCAAGCGCACGGGGTATAAGACCACACAGACGACATATGGATACCACGCGCACTGGGTATGAGGCCACATAAAAGACACATGAGGAGCACGTGTGTGGGGTGTGAGACCACATAGACGACATATGAGGAGCGCGCGCGCGGGGTATGAGACCACATAGACGACACATGGGGAGCAGGCGCGCGGGGTATGAGACCACATAGACGACACATGGGGAGCAGGCGCGCGGGGTATGAGACCACATAGACGACACATGGGGAGCACGCGCGCGGGGTGAGAGACCAGTGTAGCAGCGAGCGCGGCGCAAGGCGCCATCCCAGCGTCCGGCATTTCCCAGCTAGTGATGTCTCTGCCGTGGCGTGTTTTGCAGTCTCTACGATGTAAACATCGATAGAGTTCGTGTACGCGCGTGTTTGGAGATTGTCATCGAGTGAACTCGAATTCACCACTGGCACCCCAGCAGCGACGGGGCACGAGGCGAGGTGGAGCCGAGAAAGCGTCATGCACACGCGAAAACAACAAACGAATATATTTCATAAATTGGCGCTAAAGTCACTACTACGTTGTTTACAGTTCAGTATTCAGTAGTTCTACAATTTGGGACAGCAGCCCAATACAGAGCATGTGGACAGAACCTGTCCGGCCAGATGATGTGCGGTACTTTCCAAAACCTTTAGATCCAAGCCAATGACATATTGACACTTTATCCGACTATGTCCCATTTAACACTGAAATAGGGCTATGAACAGACGGATAAATAAAGAAGAAAACTCTGGTTCCCCTCAGTCGTCAGTCGCCTGCTCAGAGTATAGTAGTGCTTATCAGGCTAATTATGTAGTGTGTTCTTCAGGGAAAGAAGTGCGAGTCCTTTGGTCTACTTCGATCACGGGGCATACTGCAACAGGAAAAATAGAGTGTGGGTTCTTTGTTATACCTCGATCAAAGGACACAACGCAGCAGGAACAACCAACAGCTGCGCGGCTCAAGAAACTTCAGCGCGCGCGCCAAACAACAATCAACGCTGCGCGGCTCAAGAAACTTCAGCGCGCGCGCGAGGAACAATCAACAGCTGCGCGGCTCAAGCAACTTCAGCGCGCACGCCAAAGAACAATCAACGCTGCGCGGCTCAAGAAACTTCAGCGCGCGCGCGAGGAACAATCAACAGCTGCGCGGCAGGAATCTTCAGCGCGAAAATTTCAAGCCCAGCAGCGCAAACAGCATCTAAATTCTAAGCCCCCGGTAAGGTCACATTTAATTCTAATACGCACCACCGGTCGCCACGTTTTGCCACCGTGAAATGGTGTCGTCAAAGTAAGAAAATGCCGATTGAATGTATGAATATCATCTAACAACATTCTTTCATTTTCAAACTCACTACAAATCTGTACATATCTTTAAAAACACATCATGATGGCATGTCGCGTCATTAAATAGAACTTATAGATTACAAGGCCATGCAACAATCGCATGTAATGACTCAAGCTGCAAGTGGGACGGCCAGCCATTGCAATCACGCCTGCGCCAGCAGTAACGACGTCAACAAGACATCAAAGAAAAGTAACATGAGCTAATCATCGTGAACATCGTCACACACTACCGTCGCATGGGCGAAACGGATGCTCTGGCGCCGACGGGTGCGGAACAGAATCAGTGGGTTCGGCAACCTTGTTCCGAGCACTTCTCTGACGCTACCGCCACCCTGCCTTCAAACGCTCAATGCTGCAACACCACACTGCAATGGAACGTATCGCAGCACTCGATTCAACTTCCTCTGTATAGTATCGTAAAACTGCGGGGTGTTTCCGATCTGTTAAACGCGACATTTACATTGATTCGCGCACCGTTTACAGTTTGGGATTCGATTGGATTAAACGAAGAACTGCGGCATCCTAACGTGAAGCGGTAAAAGAATATTTGAAGACGATTGCAGTTCTTTGTAGATTTGTTGTTTCACAACAATACGCGGGTTTGCTACACTTCCGATCTCGTGATCTCTTGTAATCCGCTGTGAAAGCACCTGCCTTCTCGGTCGCGGCGGGTGCCAGTGTGCTGTAGACCCTGGACTGTACACTGCAGGCTCGTTCTTAGTATTGTGGCGGTCGCGTCTATAAAACTTACCACTGCGGACGAACCAATATCACGAAAAGCTTTATTGCATGGGGTTTACCATCGCCGTCAGACCAGTATGACGTCAGTTTTGCGATGTTTACAGTCTTGAGTGAGCTTAAATGTTAACCATAACAGGCCGCGTCGCGACCGCTGGGGTTTCTCGGACAATGATCGTTCCTCGAGCAGCGATTCTTATAAAACCGCCTCGCCCGCATTTTAAGCTGTACGGGAAGGCCCGGCTAGAGGCTATCGCTGGCACGGGCTTAGGTGACGCCGTCAGGCGCCGTCGCCGCCGAGACTGGTGCAGCCGCGAGACCGGCCCGTCCGCGTGCCACAGCCGCCGCAGCCCACGGGGAGGCCCCGCTGTGGTGTCGGTCTATACATCGCCATAGCCCGCGTCCCGCTGAAGCCTCGTCCAAAGCTCACGCTGTGAGCCATTAACGAGAGGCATAAGGTCTTTCTTCATAAGGTCATAAGGTCCTCTCGACCGCGTAGAGTCGAGAGGGCGAGGATCAGGCTATTGGCGGCGGCCAGGAAGCCACCGGCGCTGACAACGGCGTGCCATGCAGCACTGGGGCAGGCGCGCTGACGTTAGCGAGGGCGGGCCGGGCGGAGCGGGCGCACAGGCGCGCGGCATCGGTGGCAAAGGCGTGCCAGGCGGCAACGATAGCCGTGTGCCACGCGCAGCTGGTGCAAGCCGGACCGGAGCCGCGAGAGCGAACCGTCCCACGGCAGCGGGGGTCGAGTCGCCAGACGGCGGCAGCGAACGCTCGTCCCGGCAGTGAGGATTATGAGTGCAGCTCTGACATGCGTCCAGCCGTCCTCAAAAACCGGCGGAGACGTCCCATTTTCCCGCCTGGAGGACCGGAAAACTCGACCATGCCTGTGCGTGCCCAAGCGCGCATCTCCACCACAATCCCTGACAGTATGACGTCCTGACGGTATTTCTACGGCGGCCAAAACGCCTCCTCACGGCGAGCACAGCCACTTTACATGGCACTTGCTATCAGCGACGTCAAATAAGGCACCATTGGGCAGAAAACCTCCCAGCTGCTCATATCAAGCTTAAATTGCTAGCCACATGACGCGCTGGATCTACCGCACGATTACAAAAAGTCCCAGAAAGCGAGAGCTTACGCCTGCTGGCGACCAAAGATCGAGCCTGACGTTTGTTTTGTCGGTACCGGGCGGCCGATGGACGGAACCCCATGGTCCCAGCACGGAGCGGACGCCGCTGAGATCAGCCGCGATACACAGAGTGCAGCGGCCGCCACCTGGTCAGGCGGGTAATGAGGCCCCGCACACATTGGGCAGTGGTGCTTCTATGACCACTGGTGTTTTCATAGTCTCCTGATGGCTCTCTGTCGCTCCCATGTTCGCACTGCATCCATACACTCAGCACAGACTTATACTCATGCACTCACGTTTACATGAGTGGCCTGACATTGGAGGGTCTCGTCTTTCTGCGGGTTCGTGATAGTTGTGACACCTCAATGCCTTCAGGAGTTGTGATGCTTTTGGGGGCCACAATATTTACATACTATTTTTCTCCAGCCTCTGACATGTCCAGATCTCATTGGAATTTTAAGATCATGAAGCTCAGGCACACTGAATATTCTACACACATACTTAGTGTGCAATCCACACATTAGTTGCTGTTTACCACAGAGGCGGCGTATCTGAATTTGGGATTGGGGGGTGGCAAAGACTTTACGAAGGGCCGCCCAAACTGATGGGCCCTATCTTTCAGTACAGGCGCGCAGCCAGAGCCTTGGCAAAGGAGGGACACCGGGTTAACAATGGCCCCTTGAGAGTAAAAGCCCCCAAACCAAATGTCACCGAGTATGGCCCAACTGTTTATGAGGGCATGCTTTTTACATGCTATTTTTCTCTTCTACAACTGAAATAGAAGCCAAAAGGTACCGCGAGATCAGTTCTGCTTGAGTTTTAATCAATCAAGTGAAAAATCATGCGGTAAACGACTGTATGAAATAAATCACCCGCACCCTTCGTTTTACGGTGGTCCAGTGGACTTTTCAAAGCCAAAAGAACTCGGGAGCTTTGTCAGAATCTGACCTGGGCTGTACATAGATATTAAGGACTCCGCGAGTGTAGATCGAAATGGATCACTACTTTTTCTTAACATAGCCAAGCCGTGTTTGTATGGGAAAGTTTAGCATTCAGTCAGAACTGATAAGTGATGCAAATTATGTAACGCAGTTTCGACCATGCACGCTCGCGAATCTCGGCAAAAAACTCGACACCAGGCGTTGCAGTCTCCGTAAACCCTGTACCGTCGGCCTGCTCTCAATATCAAACCGCCACCAACGCGTGGGTGAAAATGATGACACATTTGACACAAGTACCTTGGAACGATTTGGGACTTCAAACCGTACATTAAGAAGGAAGCCGAGTGTATATTACACCCGTGCGATTCTTAGATTGATTAATTGAACGGATTGGCCTTTACAACACGACGAAGCGGTGCTGGAATCTGGTGGTAGGACTGGACGAGTAAAGACAGAATCTTCATTTTTCGTGTTGCTGTAGCTGTTTTCTGTCAAGGAAACAACCTCAAAGTTGTAAGAAAGATACCCAGCCTGACCTTTGAACGGTACACATTAGTTTTCTGAGACATTCGGAAGTCCGTTCCAAAATGGTCGCTCTTGCACGCAAGGCACCCGTCGCCTGGCGTTACTTGCAACGGCCAACGCCGTTCGGTTTTATGGAAACTGCAACTAAGGCTACCGTTGCCCCTGCCTCCGAGATTACGGGCGCGCAGGCTCAAACCTTTTAATAATTTGTTTCCCTAGTTGATTCTGCAAAATACTAAACGTTCTCAGGCCACCATAGGATTACCTCGTTCGTTTTTGAACTCATATCAACCCACTCTTTTCAACACTAATGAGGCCCCTTATTTCCGGGAATGAGCCCCCTTGAATAGAACACTAGGGGGCGCAATCTTGCCCCCGGTCAAGGGCTGAGGGGCACTTCTGTCCCACCGCGGGGTGTCTTCCGGCAGCCACCCTGGCAAAACGGGATCCACTGGCCGATCCGGCGGCCATTAAAGGGATACAGATCATATGACATTGGTCCCTTCCCTGACGCGGAGGCCTTCTGACCCGTGCACACCGCAGCTGACCCCGGATCAACGCGGGAACCCCCGCTGACGCAACGGCCTTCCTGAGCGCCGCAGGTGGTCCAATAATTAGCACATAGACCTCAGTTCGGATTAATGGACCATGCTGGAGTTGTGTTGGAGGGTCCACTGTTCAGCACTGGGGCCCTGTAGCACAGGACCCTTCCATTGTCTCAATGTAAACAAGCATTATAAACTGTCATGTTTCCTTTCACTGTCAGAAGACCACGACCAACGGAAGAGGCCTCTGTCATTCGGGGTCCCGTCTCCGTCCCCGCTGAGGACATCTTTCTCTGACCGGCTCGAGACCCCTCGTCGACACACAATGCCTTGTTCGGCATTGTGGACCCCTGAACGACACAAGAGCCCCACAATGTTACAGGGGCCCCGACCACTGAAAATCGCGGGCCCGGCGTGTCCCTGGAAATCGGAAATGGGCCCTCAGAGCTCAGACCGACACGGAGCCGACTGTTCGGTGTTGGTGATTTCTGGCTGAAACAGAGGAATGCTCTCTCAGAGGTCCCCAGTCAATGCAAAAGGCCCTCTTACTGACATTTGAGATCGCGGCCCTACGGGCGGGGTCCTTAATGTGACCTAAAGTAAGCCTTTTGGGCCGTTTAGCCTTACAAACAAGCCCCGATCTTTGGTCTCAAGAGAGCCTTCGGCCTCTTTTCGGGCCCCTCCATCCACCGCTCCCGGCCGACTCCAGTCAATTGCCGTCACACGATCCCTGTCTGTCACTGTGGCCCTTGACCGACAACAGCGCCCCTATTGTATCAGGGACCCCGAACACTGCAAATCGCGGGTCCCGGCCTCGTTCCAGCTTGGAAATGGGTCTTAAGGGCCCAGACAGATATGGAGCCAACTGTTTGGCTCCGTGTCAAAGGCCTTTATGATAGAGATAGAAAATCCTAATAACAGTGGCCTAATTAAAGCTCCCTGACTGATATTTCAGGTCTTGACACTACAGGTGAGGGTGGATGTCCGAGTCTAATTGGGCCCTTGATCCTTGATTGCGAGGGCACTCCGACCCCTCTTCGGACCTCCTCAAAGTCCGCGACAGACTACAGGCCACTAGCCCAGACATGATCCTCTGTTATGCACTGTAAGCCCCCTACCGAGAAATGGGCCCTTATCACTGTTTCAGGGACCCAGATCAATGGGAGTCGCGACCCAGTCTTGTTCCTGTTTGAACAACGGGCACCCAGGGTGCAGCCTGGCAGACAGCCAACTGCTTGGTGTTCGCGGTCGCTGGCCGAGTTAGACACCCGCGCTGTCTCAGGGTTCTTCAAAAGGTATGAGAGGACCTCTTGCTGATATGTCAGGTCACAACCCTATGGGCACACGACCCTATGTGACCTACAGCCAATCCTTCAGGCTCTTATACCCTCCCACAGGGCCTTTGACAGTTTGTTCTGCTGGGCCACCCAGGTCCCTCTTTGGGCCTCATTGAGCACTGCCCTTAGTCACTCTGTGGCCCCCTGCAAGCACAGGACCCATTGTCAGGCACTCCAGCAGGGACCAGTGAAAATCACTGGCCACTTTGTAGCTGATGGGGAAGTGTGTCTGAGGGCCCATACTGATATGGGGTGGACTGTGTGGCACAGGTGGTGTCTGACTGACATATAGACCCATATTGATTCAGGGTGTCCATGATTAGTGCAAAGAGCCCTCTGACAGTCACCTGAAGGTCTGACCTTGCAGACCAAAGCCCCTGAATAAAAAAACTCTGACCAGCCCTTTGTGCTCTCACACCTCCTATTAAGCCCTTCATCATCAGACTGGGTATGTTTTCCAGGCATTTTGGGCCTCCTCGAGCACTGGCTCTAACCAACTCTGGCCTTCTGCCAGCACAGGATGCCCATTAGGCACCATAGGATCTGACCAATGTAAATCACCTGCTTCAGCTTTGTCCCTGCTTGGGAAATGGGCCCTTAGGCCTATGTGGCTATGTAGCCAACTGTGAGTTACTGGTGTCTGACATACACATAGTCCCTTAGGCCCCTATCATTTAATTTACAGGCATGCTTTTTATCTAGAAATAGGCTCTTTTCAGACCTGAGATGGGCCCATCGTAAGTTGAGGGGGTGCGCAGGCCGCGAGGGGGGGGGGCGGGACACGCCATGAGTGCTCAGGACTTCTTGGGACCGGCGATCAAGGGTCCAACGAGGGGGCTCAAAGAGGTAGCCCGACGCAATTTCAGGGGATCCTGGCCCGCAAATGTCCATCAGAGGACCTCTTGTGCCGATTGGAGCCCCCTGAGCCCCTGGGGCAATGAGGGACCGCCGGTCAATCCGCGACCACAAATTTCGCAGTCTGCCACGTCGCAGCCAACGACCCGTGCCGGGACCATCCTGCGCGAAAGACTTGAACACTGACAGCCATTACTGATGTTTACCGATAAGTAGTGCACCTAAAGTAAGATGTGCACTTACTTATATCTTTAATGAAGCACACCACAAGATGCGGCCAGTTGGTCAATAGCAGCACGTTGGAAGGAAGGCAACATATGGGTCCCAATACACATCGACATTCAACAATCTGCCCATACGACGTTCGTTACTCAAGATGATATGTAAAAAGAGTTTCAGTCGTGTCACTGATCACTTGCCTGCCACTCCAAAGAGCTCACCTGTGACTTCAGCATTAGTGCTCCGTGAAAATTAAAATACACCCACCATCCTACAAGCATTGGCCACACTGCCCATCACTCCGCTCTTGACGATGTGATGAACCGCAGCTGTCTGGAAGGCGGTAGAAGTTGGTGGTCTCAAAAAAACTTTGGCGGTATCCACTAAGACATTTAGAGTATTTCAGCAAGCAGGGAGGAAATATATCACTAGTGTGAATGAGCTTTTCATCAATTTGGACTTGATGATATTTTATTGTTTGTATTCTCATGGGAAATTCGCGATCTATAAACAGAGATATACCGGATAGTTAATTTCTTTATTAAGTTGGCATCTCTAACTTGGCATTACGTTGTTCTACTGACAACGAACGCAACCGACTTTAATCGTATTATGGGCAAAGCCGGACCTGCGCGGCGTGCACACCGCAGCAGTAGATCTTTCAATTTTGTTGTTTTCTTTCTACACGTATTGTTGAATGCGTCGTCCCTGGCGATTGAGGCTGAGAAGTGGCACCGTGGCTTGGTCCGATGACAGGTAAGTTTTTGAAGCCTATGTAGCCCTGCAATCATACGGCCGCTTTCAATTGTAATGTATCACGGTATGTATGAGTTCAGAGGTATGGTCTTCAAACTGCCAAAAATACAGTAGCCGAACGCGTCTGGTGTAGCAGCTGGATGCGGCAACAGTTTTACCATACGCACACTGTATGTTGCCCAGTGTCCAGAGTTTGGTGTGTAGTGAGCTCCAATTTTGGCGCATAGCCGGGCAAATGTTTGAAGGAATTGGGATGTTTTTAAACGTTATTCAAGCTAAAATACTGTCAAAACATTTTTTACATCAGGATGCTCAAAATACGCTGCAATTTTGCTTGGCCAGGCAGTTTTGGTGCATAGAAAATGTGATTCAATGCATGGGAGTTGTGTGTGTGTGCAGTGCCAGGATGCATTTTTGCGGACTGGCCTGGTGGTTTACTACTCTGTAAGGATATTATCTGCATCAGACGCTTAAGCGTTACCAACAAGGTCTGCCTGAGAAGCATTGTAGGCATACTTGTTGTGTGATATGGTAAAAGGTCATTTTGGTAATAGACTTCAAGTTGGGTATTGTGGCTGGCTTTAGCCATTAGGCTCAAGTCACATGCTAAAATGGTACTCTATCCCTATGGCCTGGAATTCTGACAGTTGTGTCCTTCCAGTGGGGATGAAACACTTATGAGAAAGGCTAATTTTCTAACCTTGCATATAAAAATGGCTCACTCATCCCTTTAGTTTTGATATTTCCCCTTCACCTATACCACAATACAATTAAACTGTCATGATTAAGATAAGACTGTTTAGTGCCTGCATTGCCTCAAAGCATTTATGGGGTTATTGTTATCTGTTATTATTCAACTTTTAAAAGTTACCATAAAGAAAGAATGGTGCAAATTGCAAAATGCAGCAATATTTAGGTTACAGTTCCATTAGTTGGCTGGGCTTAGACATTGTTCACTCCATACCATTGTCACAGTTGATCAGCAAACTGTTTGGATCGGGGCAGGTCATGTTTTATTTCTTACCAGGACTGGTCTAATCTGCAATGCAGGTGTATTCTTGCCTGCAAAGCATTCTCAACTCTTTTGTTTTAATAATTCCACCTAAAAACCCTTGGATATGTATCAAAGAATGCATTATCTAATAACAAGTGATAATGATGCATTTGACTAGCTGTTGGCACTAAGTACCCTAGAATGAATCCCCCACCTGCTTAGATAATGGAAACCGGCCTGCAGTGACCAAAGTCACATTACCATTATCTGAGGCTGGCTAGTGTTTGCCTCAGTCAGGTGGTATATGCTATGATATCAATGGATTTCCATGAAATATGGGACACAGTTAGTGAGCTATTAAAAAATGGAATCCTAGTAACTAGAAGGAATCAAACAGAAGTAAATCAGACCTTATAGAACTAGACAGGGTGGCATCAAATAACCCCATCCTACTCTGCCCCACCCCAGGTAGGAAGTCACTCCTAAGAAAATGCAAATACAGGCAGGTTGGTCGACTGGTGAGGAAAAAATATATATTGCCTTGAAAGTGACCATTCAGTTAAACAAGTTGGTTAAAGAATCATTGTTGCATGTTGAAATATTTAGTCTCCAGATAACACACTTAACATTTTTGAATGAAGTGTTTATGAATGTAACTTAGTAAGCCCTGCAGGTGCAAGCTCTTCAGATTTTTTATCTTCTGTTCATGTATCACTTCACATTTACAGGTGGCAAGGTCGCATGGAATCAACATGTCAAACAGTATTGGAGAGAGGGAGCGTGACCTGGTGTTAGCCAACTCCACAGCCGGTTTTGACCCAGACAGAAGCAACAGGGAGCGCCGCAAGCTAAAGCGGAAGATCTACACGGATGGGTGAGAGCAGCTTCCAAAGACTTTGTTTCACTAGTGATCAGAAATCCCAATTTGTTGATGCATTATGCATGGGCACGGCATGACACTAAGAGTTAAAGCTTAAGGCCCCAGTTGTCATTCTTTGTGCATTGCATTCAGTGTGCATCATAGGTTTGATGTGCCAAGTTTGTGCACAATCTCAAGGCATTTTTCTGCTCCGCATTTTCTCGTTTACCAGCAGTGAAAAACACAACAGGCCTGCATTGGGGTGCCTTCAGCTGTGACAGCTAAATCCTGTCCCTTTACCATCCTGTCCCTGCCATTTCCTTTCCAATTCCAACTGTCATCCTGTCCCAACCTTCCACCCATATCAAACCCCTCCCCCTTTGGAACGGGCACTCCATGCCCTGACCGTCACACCCTAAAACCCAGGAACTGGACTGCTGTTTGCTACATGTATATATTGACTGCTGCTTTTACATGTATACCTAGGGGTATACCTGGAGGTATATGTGTCTCGAGAATCCGATGATGATTCACGTTTGCATGTGTGTTTCACATGCATCCTCTCCATCAGCAATGCTGTGTCTGTCAGACAATTTGCAATGCTGCATCCCAAAACTAGCATTTTTTTAGACACAGACAAGCTGATAACATCGTGCGTTTTGCGTGGCATTGCGTGTTGGAACCACCTTTGCTTCGTCCCGTTGTTGGCGTGAGCCGAGCCTGTACGTGCGTGTCGCTTGTCCTGTTACAGGCGTAAGCGCGCTCTGTACGATGACCGCGGCTGTCTGATGAGTGGTCAGGACGTTTGCGACTGTCTGCAGCCCGACTGTCCAGGCTGCCACTTCCCCTGCGCCAAGTGCGGCTCTCCCATGTGCGGTCACGAGTGCAGGTCGGTCCAGGCCCGGCTGGGGAGTCAGGTGCGATGGCGTTGGCCTATGAGCATCAAGTAAGTGTAAAGACATGAAAAGAGCATCATAAACTTGCAGTGAGCTGAAACATTTTATTTGGCGGACGTCATTGGTCAGTTCCTTGATGAACGTCTAGATAAGCTGAAGTTTGAATTTGCTTTCTTTTCGAAGTGTTATCGGTGATATTCGTATTTCTCCAAGCTATGTGGTTGAGGTGGTGTGCACCCCTGAAATACGCGATTCCATTAATTCTCCTTTTTTCTCAAGGGTAAACCGCAAGTGGATGTACGACCAAGTGGAAATTGAGGGCACAGACAAGGTGTTGCGCAATAGGTTCCGCGAGTAAACAGTACCAGTGGTTGTTCCGGAAGCCTCTGGGCCGAACTGCCTGTGCTGTAAGACTGGACACCAGCGCCGCTTGTCACACCGGAGCGGCGGCATTGCCTCGTCGGCGCCAGTACAGTAACAGTGTAGTAGCGCCGTCAGACTGGTACACACCAGTCAGTGGCGTTATTGGTTTTCTCCGCACCACTCCGTGAAAACTGCGGTGGTCGCACTCGACACTCGCCAGCACCGTCCGGACTGCTCTCTCCGTTCCACCGGATCGTCAGAGTCGCACCGTCCCACCCGCCACTCTCCCCGCCGCACCGGACTGTCGGAGCCGCACCGTCCGGACCGCTCTCCCCGCCGCACCGGACCGTCAAAGCCGCACCGTCCCACCCGCCGTTCTCCCCGCGGCGATGGCGTCGGCCGGCGGCGGCTCGGGCGTGCTGCTGGGCCTGGAGGACGCGCCACTGACGCCAGCCGACGAGCGCCGCTCTGACATGACTGTCAGCCGGCTGGGCGGCCGGCCCGACTGGCCGACACCCGGCGCCGCGCCGCCGCCTCCGCTCTGCGCCCGCTGCGGCCGGCCGCAGCCGCTCGTCGTGCAGGTGTACGCGCCGATCGGCGCCTCCGCCTACCACCGCACGCTCTACGTGTTCGGCTGCGCGACGCCCGAGTGCGCCAACGAAAGTGCCGCGTGGTGCTGCGTGCGCGCGCAGCAGCGGGCGACCGGCGGCGCCGAGCCGGCGCCTGTGCCGGCCGAGCGTGCACCGGCCGCCGCCGCCACCGACTGGCTGGATGAGGCCGACGACTGGGGCAGCGACGACAGTGGCGGCAGCAGCGGCGGCAGCAGCAGCGGCGGCGGCGGCGGCGGCGGAAACAGCAACGTCAGCGCCTCGCTGCTGACGCGAGTGCAGGAGCTGGCGCTGGACGCCGACAACGCCAACCTGGCGGCGGCCAGCGAGGCGGCGCCGGCCACCGCTGAGCTGGAGCCTGCAGCTGAAGAGGGCGTGAGCCCAGAGCCGGCGCAGCCTCCTACGTGTGACGTGCGTGCGCTGTTGGCCGCGCGGCCGCCGCCATTGCACGGGCCCGTCACTTTCCGGCCGGCCTACCTGGGCGTGGTGGAGGAGCCGGCGCCGCGCGGCGCGCCCTCCCACCACGAGCTCGACCTGCTGCGCGCGTACCAGGCGCGCGAGGGCGTTAACCTGGCACAGCTGTCCGCGCCCGGCGGTGGCGGGGACGGCCCGACCGCCGCCGCCGCCGAGGGCTACGAGCGCGCCGCGCCGGCGCACGGCGACCGGCTGCTCTACAAGCTGATCCAGCGTCTGGAACTGTGTCCGGGCCAGGTGCTGCGCTACTGCCGGGATGGCGGCTCGCCGCTGCCGCTGGCGCCGCTGCCGCCGGCGCCGCCCGCCTGCCGCCACTGCGGCGCGCCGGCCGTGTTCGAGCTGCAGCTGCTGCCGACGCTGGTGGCGCGGCTGCGCGTTGCGGACGCGGCCGGCGGCGAGCATGCCGGCCCGCTCGAGTTCGGCACCGTGCTCGTCTACACGTGCCGCGACAGCTGCTGGCGCGACGGCGACCGCGCCCGCGCCGAAGTGGTGCTGGTGCAGGCCGAGATGCAGTGACGTCACAGGTCAAGCTGCAATGACGTCACGGAGAAGGCGCAGTGACGTCACGGTCGGATTCGCTGTCGGTCATGTCAGTTGGGAAAGATCGAGGTAGCCTTGAATGGAAAATGAAGAGCGAGTACTGCTAGAACATGCCGATATTTTGTTTGACGAAGCAGTCGTGCGTTGCTTTGTGAACTGCTGCGGTTAGATCGCTGCAGATGCATGGGCTTTCTTGTCACGGGCAGCCGTGTGTTCACGCGAGCGCTCCCCGCCAAGCATACGAGCTGTGAGGAGTCTTGCCACACTTTCATTTGTTTCACTCGCTCACAATACATGCTGATGAATACTCGTGATTCCCTCGCGCCGTTCACAGCAGTAGGTCTTATGAAGGAGGTCAAGCTGTCAGAAACAGTACAGCACGCGCACGCGTGCTCTGCGGCGTTTGGTGTTCGACGGGGTTCACAAAGCCGAGACCTGCCGGGATTTGCGTAACCCACACCTGTATTGATAATTCACTGATACACAGCAATGCCGCAGCTGCAAAATTGAATGCACGCACAACGTGACAGAACAATGCTGGCCGCTCGCCCCGGCAGCGGTGGCATGTGGAGCCGGCCCTCCGCCCGGCCGGGCCGCGCCGTCACCTCGGCAGCGGTGGCATGTGGGGGCCGGCCCTCCGCCCGGCCGGGGCGCGCCGTCACCTCGGCAGCGGTGGCATGTGGAGCCGGCCCTCCACCCGGCCGGGGCGCGCCGTGACCTCGGCAGCGGTGGCATGTGGGGGCCGGCCCTCCGCCCGGCCGGGGCGCGCCGTCACCTCGGCAGCGGTGGCATGTGGAGCCGGCCCTCCGCCCGGCCGGGGCGCGCCGTGACCTCGGCAGCGGTGGCATGTGGAGCCGGCCCTCCGCCCGGCCGGGGCGCGCCGTCACCTCAGCAGCGGTGGCATGTGGAGCCGGCCCTCCGCCCGGCCGGGGCGCGCCGTGACCTCGGCAGCGGTGGCATGTGGAGCCGGCCCTCCGCCCGGCCGGGACGCGCCGTCACCTCAGCAGGTCGGCGGGGCCGCCGTGTTAAAACCAGCTGCCGCTGAGCCCGGCCAAGAACGACGAGCTCGGCTTCATGGTCTCCGTCTTCTTCCGCGACTCCTGCACGGCCGTCTGGAACATGTCACACGGGTTCACTCCCGGGCTGGTTCGGCGTCCGGCGCACCAGCGTCGGTGGAGCACAAGGTCAAATGTGGCCGTCCTTGCCACCTGCACAATGTCATGACGTCGTAGACAAATGGCAGAAGATCAATACGTACAGCGGCCGCGTTGCCCAGCGCAGAGGCCGACGGCGGCCCCAGTAGGATTCCGGAAAAACTTATGCGTTCGACTTTAATGGTTTCATGTTTGGCTGGATGAAGAGTAGCCGTGGTACAGTCTATCAGAGCTTGCTGCGCATGGGTAACTAGAGTAAACATTACTTGTTGTGTACACGACTCAACTTCATGATGTACTTGTGTACACCATGAAGCTGTCGTCAAAGTTGCACCAATCAAGCCGTCTAGCGATTTTGCCTCTGGTCTTTTTGCCAGGACTGTGGGAAGCTAAGTTCCGTACAGTGGTACGACACGGTCGCGCCGGGACAGGTTGACTTGTTGGCCAATTGCCGCATAACCTAATTTCAACAGCGATACAAAACAATACACCCATCGTTTGACTCGTATGCAGTGTTGCTGTGTTACGAGCTCAGGATCTTTCACCAATGCACCTTAGCGGCATTGCTGAGCCTGTAAACCTAAACTCAAGGGGGTGGTTTCCGGTCACCGCGCCTGCCGCAGGGGCCGCTGCCACCTGCCAGCCGCGGCTGTCCCTTACCTTGTCGTGTCGGGCGGCGGGCAGGGGCCGCGACCTCTCGAGCGGCGACGAGTCGGGCACGGCCAGCAAACTGAAGCGGACGGGTCGGGCGGCCAGCAGCAGCAGGCTGTGCTGCTCCTGCTGACCGCTGCTGCTGCCAGCGCCGCCGCCAGCCAGCGGGCGCACTGGGCCGCGGTCCACAGTCAGCGCACCCAGCAGCGACTGTGGGACATGGGCGGCATCAGAGGAGGGCCTGGGGACACCCGTCGCGGTCCCAGATCAGGGACCGCGAGATACGGGGGCGTCAGAAGAGTAACTAGGGACACCTGTCAGAACAGGGACCACGAGATACGGGGGCGTCAGAGGAGGGTCTGGGGACACCTGTCAGAACAGGGACCACGAGATACGGGGGCGTCAGAGGAGGGTCTGGGGACACCTGTCAGAACAGAGACCGCAAGATACGGGAGCGTCAGAGGAGGGTCTGGGGACACCTGTCGGAACAGGGACCGTGAGATACGGGGGCGTCAGAGGAGGGTCTGGGGACACCTGTCGGAACAGGGACCGCGAGATACGGGGGCGTCAGAGGAGGGTCTGGGGACACCTGTCGGAACAGGGACCGCGAGGTACGGGGGCGTCAGAGGAGGGTCTGGGGACACCTGTCAGAACAGGGACCGTGGGATACGGAAGTGTCAGAGGAGGAACTGGGGACATCTGTCAGAACAGGGACCGCGAGATACGGGGGCGTCAGAGGATGGTCTGGGGGCACCTGTCAGAACAGGGACCGTGAGATACGGGGGCGTCAGAGGAGGGTCTGGGGACACCTGTCAGAACAGGGACCGCGAGATACGGGGGCGTCAGAGGAGGGTCTGGGGACACCTGTCAGAACAGGGACCAGGGGACACGGCGGCCTCGGAACGGACGGAGCGGCACACGCTCGCGACGTAGGGTCGGACATCCTGACAAACGGACCAGATCACACGGAAGTGGGTAAGATTGTTTCCTCCTTGGAATATGCCAAAACTGAAAACGACGAATTACCCATCCGATTTCCAATCATTGCAAACAATCCACCCGGGACCGTGGCGTCGCCGGCACCTGCGACTGCTGCGTGAACTGTCGAAGGTTCTTCAGCGCGTGTGGCCAGCAGACGTTCAGGTCGAACGGGTCGATGTGCTCCTCAATGGACTCGCACGTGCTGCTGATCTTCTTAGTCAGCTCCTGCGAGTGGTGGCCACCGTGTACTTAGAGGCGGCCAGGCGACTTCGACACTGCCGATTGAAGGCTAAGCACAACAAATGGCAGTGCACATCACAGGAGGTGAATCGAATATATTCTGCAGGGGACAGCTGTCTAACACATCCTATGTACATACCCTGCTAACAAGTTCAACAGCTGGAGATGGATACCACCCATGCAGCGTTTATGATCTGCCGTCGTGCCCTGCAGCCCCATAAACTGTGGCCTGAGCCGAGCGTGCGCCCCGGCCCAGACCCTCGGCTCACCTGGTCTCTGGCCGAGGCCAGGCTCTTCAGGAAGTGCACGTCGACCAGCGCCTGCAGCGCCTGGTTCTGCGAAAGGCCTTCCTGTCCCAGCGACGCCAGGTGGCGCGCGAACACGTCCACCAGCCGGCGCACGCACGTCTGCACCAGCTGGTTCTGCACCTCCCTGTGGCGAGGCAAACGGTGGCAGCGGGCCGGTCAGTCGCAGACCGACTCGCAGCACGGTTAACAACACAGTCACGGCTCAGGGCGCACTAGCTGGCAAGTAGCAACTTGCTGTACACTGCGGCCTTTTCTGCGTTATAAACGCTTGAGAGCTGTGCCGGAGATTCGGTTCACGCAGAATTCGCACGCTGCGCAGGCGTATAGGTTTGGCAAACGCGGAAGCCCATATCGCCTGCAATAGATTCAGCTACATAATCCACACGTTCACTCTCTTCTCTTCAAGCAGTGACATGCACGCAAAGGTGGTAAGCCTGGCTGACCCACTGTGTTGGCCGGGCTGCCCACGTGTGCTGGGCCTCACCTGCCCAATGTCATGGAGCCCAGCCGGTTGATGTCGGTGGACAGCCGACAGAGGGCGGCGGTGAGCGAGAGACGTGGACAGCGGGGCACACGCACCACCGACTCCACCGTCTGCCCCGAGTCGGCCTCCTCGCTGATGGTCACCGCTGCCCACAGCTGCCCACACGGACGTGGCACGTCAGCAGGTGGACCGCAACGCGTGCGAGGTCAGCGACCCGACGCAGACTCGAGAGCACGCAGGCAGTGAAACACACCGCAGTCGTAACAGGACAACTGTGTGCGGACTCCTCTTCGTATGACCGTTAAAACCAGATGTCACCGAACCATCGCACCACCCAAAGCCATCACAAGCCCGCCTCTGGCCTGCCGAGTCTGAGCCCATTCGACCCTTCTCTCACGGCGAGATCCTTCAGGTCGACGTCCGTGGCGGCCCGCAGCGCTGTGGTGAGCTCCTCCTCCAGCCGGTCGGCGCGGCCCTGGCACCAGCCCGCCATCAGCCGGCAGCGCGCGTGCAGCAGCTGCGTCACCAGCTCCTCCCAGAGCGGCCGGCCCGCGGACGCTCCCTGCCGGCCGCCGGCGGACACCGCCGAGGCGTTAGCGTCACCGGGTCAGGATCATCGGCAGCCACTGGACGCCGGGACGGCGGCGGGCGCCAGGTCACGTGGCGGCGTTACACGTGGGCGACCGTTGCATGTTCCGCCGCGTCCTGGCCCCTAGGCCATAATACTGTCACTGCAGTCGCTGGCGCTCAACAAAAAGGTGCGCGGCATCGTGCGTCAGAGCGCCTTCCAATTAAAAAAGGGTAACGCCCAGAACGACGCCGGTTGCATTGACCTAGACCCACGATCGCTCAGCGGCCTCATGCGGGCAGATGCCATGAATGACGTTTCGGCACATCACAGAAGGAGACTAGATCAGTACATTAACCCAATGATTTTCACTGTTTTCGCCCGGTGTCGGTTCACTGACCTGCTTGCTGCGCGCGCTGGCGTCAAGACACAGTGGCACGTGCGGACAGAGGTCGATCAGGCCCCGCGGGATCCGGGCCAGCAGCACGGCCGCCTCCTCCGCCGAGGCGGACGCCGCCAGCCGCTCCAGCTCCTGCAGCAGGCTGTGGAGAGGCACGGCCACGCCGCTCCAGCTACGATGGCGAGAGGTACGCTCCTCCTCACCGCCACGGCACTGTGCGGAGAGACCTCTGAGATTCAACGGGGGACCGCGACTAACTAAAGCCATACTCAGCCAATTTATGCTGCTATTAGGGCGCGTGGCAAATGATTGGTTTACCTCGCACAAAGCAACGACATGCGTTTGATGATTGGGACGGTCATTGTTCCATCCGTTCGACTGTCAGAAGGCATAATCTTCACCTATCCACTTGTAAGACCGCCAATGACCTGGCGCCTTACTAGTACATGTGACCCAAGGTTGGCTCCCATGAGCTGGTCTGGCTCTGACCTGTCCCCTAATGGAGGGGGGGGGGGGATCAT